TTTTTGTTTTTTGTTTGTTTTAATATCCAGAAGCCATGAGTTGTTAATTCTTAGGCTCGGTATTATAAATATCGCAACCTTTCGGCCTTGATTCCATTGTAAATACCGTAAATCTGGGAGAAATGTGGCTTTCCTGCCTACCCCCGGATTGAATCCGGACAACAAGGAGTTCGTCACCCGGTCTCCGCGCAATCCCGTTTAGCCAACTACGCTAGAGAGCCGGGCAACCAAACCCGGAGATCGAATGGCTGCTATTGAAGCCATTCGCCACTTAGAAACAACGCTCATGCATATCAGATTTTGTAAACTTTCAAGCAGTAGATATCGATTTTGCTAATTACTGATGTTTCATGAGGATGGATATAATAAATAAAATGATGTCTACATTTGTTTTTTGTTTGTTTCTTAGATGTCAGCCAGTCCAATATTTTTATTCTCTGGCCCGCTCATTGAAGAAGACTGCTTTAGTGTATATCTGAACTTCAGGTATTCAAGATTGGATACATATCACGTGCATTTATTATTCAGCTGACAGACAAATCCCGTCTAATAAATGTTGATGCAAATAAAAAAATCATTACAAGTAAATATTTAACTCCTCATTTTTCTAACTGAGAAATATCTAGCATGTCAATAGTATTTTTTTTATATATATTATTATACTCACACTCTATCTAAACAAGGGGTTAACTTAAGTAGTAGCTACCGACAAAATAGGTCGCCTTTTTAGGGCGTGCCCGGTATATAACCTTTGTTAAACGTTGTATGAACAGCGAAAGTGTAATATTCAGTCAACCGTTTGCTTGTTGTTCATCACCAGGACATCACAAAAGTGATAAACACCGGTAACACAAAGTGTCACCATGCGGACGAGGATCACCCGTGGAGAGGTCAAGAAACCCCTTTAACCGTTATGGCCAGATTATTTGCCCAGCTATATTCAGGGCTCTAGGGTGGGACTTCAGATAAGGACACAAAAATTTTTGTTTTATAACAAGTGATTATTTGACCTATGTATGTAAACTTAAGGCACACATTGTATTCACACAGGTAGGGCACTTGTAGGCATGCCCATTTAGCAGTGATGTTCAATAATCCATAATCATCATTTCATAGCATATTTGTTATAAAAAAAAAAAAAAACGTTAGGTGTAACACTCTGCATCCAACTGTTGCCGCTTATTTGGATTAGTCACTTTATCTGATTCTTTCTCAGTGTTCACGGGCTCTAAACTCTAGCAGAAAGTTCTGGTTGTTTGTCCACTTCTGGAGAAGGTCTTGTTCCAGAATTTGAGTTTTGTGAGCACAACTAATTTTACAGATTTGGCTTATTTGTGTCCAGAGTGCTGGTTCCTGGCCTCTCCGGCTTCAAATAAAAATGGCCCGGCATTTCAAATACTTACATGTAAAAATGGATGTCAACAAGATACATTTTGATTAGATGTCAGAATAAAATGAACCCACCAGTATCTTCCACTTCTGGCTAATTACCATCTTCCCAATGTTGCAGAAACAGAACTATTAACAACTTTTAAATTGAAATGAGAAAACAAAACACACACATAGTAAAAAATAATAGTCCACATGTTTTCCTTCTTGTTTCTCTTTCTCACAAGTACAAGCTGAATCAGCTCATTTATTTCTGTTGAATGTTTCTTTAAAAAGTGAGAATTCTCACAGAAAATTGACAATACATTACCGGAAAGCAATTAGAGCATTATCTAAATTAAATGTAAACAAAATAAAACAAGTTTCTATACATTTTAATCTGTATTTTTCAAAAGTAAAAATGTATCATCATCTAGTACCTCGCCGAATGGCTTGAGCAATCATGTCTCTCCACATCTGCACAGCAGTATCAGTTACTGGGCTGACACCCTTCCATGCTATGACAAAAGGCCTTTTTTGCAACAAACAGTTAAAGTCGTCACATGTTCCAACTTTTTTCCTATCATGAGGTGGCCAAAAATTGATGGCAGTCTCTTCTATATGTGATAAGTTTTCTTCAGGATTTGGCCATTTTCAAAACAACCCGATTACTCATTATGGCTGCCCAATGAATTCTAAGCATTCTTCTGTAAAACTTCATCTGAGGCCTCAAGAAGTGGTTTGGCTTGTTTACTCAGTCTCGAGGACTGACAGCCATATGTTAAAAGTGGTTCTACATGGCGTGCAAGAATTCTTTATCAGCACAATTACATCAATGTATCTAAAGGCATTTTCAAATTCAATGTGAGAAAAGTGGAAACACTCAGAAAATTAACAATTCGTTACTGAACAGCAACTACAGTGATATCTAAGTTTAGGTCAGCTGCTCTTCGACTCACCGCCCAGTTTTATTCAGCAAAGGGAATACAGGTGTTTTTATTTGCTTTAGGTTTAAGGGGGGGGGGGGGGGGGGGAACCTCAAACTTAAAGAAGAAATTTTTTTAAAGACCCCCCCCCCCCCCCCCCCCCAAAAAAAAATGAAGCTAAAAATTAATGACAATTTGTTTTAAACAGGACCGAAACTGCATATTTGAACGTGTGAACTCCAGGCATACATAGCCAACAAAGGGACGGCTTATAGACAACCGCAGTAGTAGTAGATTTTAAGCCTACCAGGACATCACACAAGCGATAAACACCTGATGACACAAAGTGATCACCCTTGGAGAGGTCTCAAAAACCACGTTCAGCCTTTATACCATATTTATGGTGGGGCTATTTTGCGGGCCCTGGCAAGAGTCAAGGTGGGGCTTCAAAATAAAGAAAAATGCATCTCACAGGGGGGGGGGGGGGGTGACAGGATGCAGACAACCCCAGTACTTAAAAATGAGACATAAACATGTGGCAATGCACCTCGTCATTTATAAACAAATTTTAAAACCCCTTGTTCAATGATACAGCGAGTGGCACGATCTAACAAACTCTGGAACGATCTCTGTAGTTCTTCTGTTGTTATGACCCCTAAAGTCGATGTTACGGCCCTTTGGATGTTATCAATATCGTTAGAGAAGCGTCCTTTCAATCGTAACTTCAATTTTGGGAATACAAAATAATCACAGGATGACAAATCTGGGGAACAGGGTGGAAGGCTGAGAACACACATTTGTTTTTGGGCCAAAAATTATTGTTTTGATAATATCTCTTGGGTACTCAACCGCTGATATTTTTGGTCATCAGATAACGAATGTTGTACAAACCGGCAAGGAACTTTTCTTTTTGCCAAAATCTTGCACCAAATTGTTAGGAATGGTCTCTCTATTAACATCAGATTCATCTGACATCATCCTCACAGTAAAACAATGATCTTCTTGTATCCGTCCTCTGACTTTTTCAATGATTTCATCATTAGGAACAGAAATCTGGTGTCCAGGTCTAGGTGCATTATTAAGCAGACAACAAACAAGTGGCCATTTTGTTGAGGTGCATTGTTACGTAATCAGCATGGAGCAAAAAGCTAACATAAAATTCTTGTTAAAACTCAGAAAAAGCGCAATTGAAGCAGTTGAATTGATGCAACAAGTTTATACCGTGCACAAATTTTCAGATGGTATTTACGATTCAAAAGTGGTGTGAAAATGATTACTAATGCACCTAGCGAATAATGAGATAAAATAATTAATAATAATAATAAAATAATAATAATAATAATAATAACCGTTATCTAACAATAATTCAGAATGGGAATAATATCTTTCCAACAGCCATTCTCACGCTAGATGTTTGGAATAGCTAACCAAAACCTACTCTTTAGTCGCCTCTCCCGACACGCTTGGGGTGTAGCGATGTTACTGTTCTGGATCCGGTAAAATACAGGAAACATTACACCATGCAAAATAAGAATAGGGCTGATAAAATGTGGCCAGGGGCGGGAGGGGGCACAAGGGGGCAGAGAAAAGAAAACTTGCAAACCCGGAAAAAGAAGTAACGAGAGCACAAAAACTAAATAGAATCAGGCGCGTATAGGAAGGAAAAGTGCAGGATACGCTCCACATGACCAGGGGAAACAAAAGAAGTTGCTAATAGATCAAAGAAAATAAAACATGTACAAGCATGTCGTAAGAGTCGAATAATTAGGGATTTTCTTCGAAGTAGGAGTGCTCCTGTCTGCGAGGCAAGGAACCATGAGTCTGCATACAAATAAGTCAGATTTGTAAAACATATGTGTACGCAACACTCAGGTTCTGGACTAGTTATAAAGTCCAGAGGTGGATCATCATCATCATCCCGTAACATCGTTTGTCGTTGGGTCACCCGTGACCGTATGATCAACTCTCTCTATCTTGGGCGGTCAGTTGCGATGGACTTCATGGTAGCATGCCTGAGGCCTGTCCAGTCAGTCAGGTTTTGTAACCAGGTCTTTCGTGGTCTGCCTCTTCTCCTCTTTCCCTCAGCTGAGCCCTGCAGTATTGTTTTTGATACTCCATTAGATCTAATTTCACGTTTTTTGTTTTTGTTTTTTTTAACATACCCAGAAACCATGAGTTGTAAACCCTTTGGCTCGGTACTGTGGATATCGCAACCCTTCGGCCTTGATTTAATTAAAGGTACCGTTCTTGTAGTTAAAAAATGTTCATAGTTGCCAGTGTGCTGTAGAATGCGTTTGTAATGTGGTCCCTGTATAGTGTATGGTATGCCAGAAACCATGTCCTGGCATACAAATGAAACATTAGACTGCTCTTAGTGGATATTGTGATAACAAAAATGACTCCCCTTTACATGTCCGGCAACCCACCTTAGGCAGAGTCGACCTGGAAGTAAGGCCATTCACAATAAGCAACTGTGGGAATTCGATCTCAGGACTACCAGCCCGGCAGACGAGTTACTCTATAGTTCTATACAGTATACTCAATCAAGTAACAGAAAGTGTATTGATCGGCACTCATAAAAGAAATAGAAAGATTTACAGTATACTTATCAACTATATAGTTGTTCTCAGAGATATCAAATTGTGGATCGTTTTTACCGAAACGAAAGAAGTAGGTTTTTGATATTTAATATTTACTGAGTGAAACATGGCAGACTCCAGTGAATTTGGAAACTGGCAGGTCGCTATCGATAATATCCTGGATAGCATTCAGTATTCCGACGAGTTTAAAAGCTTCAGTCAGCAACGGTCAAATGAAAGTCGCGTTAAATGTGTTTTTACGGACAAATTATTAAAGTGAGTAATATTTATTTTATAGCTTTAGACTTTAGTATTCCGAGCCCTTCAGTCATTGCTGCAGTTAGCCTGGCTATCACTTCACTACCACTGACACTCTCCTCCATTCTGAATACAGTTCATCTTCGCGACTGGCCTTTCTTTCCACTTGGTGACTCCAAGTGTTTGTAGGTCTGCCTGTTTTTATCTATCCACTGTCTTCTTGGTCAGCATCATGATCTACTCCCATTCAGCTCTTTTAATTATGTGTACGCAGTTTTCATCTCCCCCTCTCCTCATGTTTTCCTCCCATTCTCACTGCATTCCCCACCAACCGTTGCAGTCATTTAGTACGGTCAGCATTTTCCCTATTGATGCCAGTAATTAGTGGTAATTAAAAGTTTAAACAGCTTTTTTAAAAAATGTCTTTGTTGTTCCTCACTCACCAGATTATGTCATTATCTGGTCCTTCCAAATAAAATTCATAAGAGGGGGGGGGGGGGGGGGGGGGAATAACTGTATATTTTCTGTATGATATTTTGAGTTCATTTGAGCACTGATAACTCTAATGCATTCATTGTTTTATTGTATTGATATTTGCACAATTAAAAACAACACTCTGAAAAATACCATCCTGGCTACTTTGGTAAAGTTGATGGTAATACCATTGGTATTTAACTCTTTCATTCCAAGTAATTCATGGTGTGTAATTAGATCTTCATCCAGACCTCCCATAGTTGCATAGTGCAGTCTTCAGTTCAGTTCACGTAATCTCTCCAAACAAAGTAGGTCCCATTTGATACACAAGTTTGTTGGGCTGGTCGACTTCCTTGAAGGTTACAGGTGTGTCCCGCTCTATTGTTTGCTTTCTATGGTGTCTTACATTTATGTTTTAATTCCAAGAAAAAGAATACCTGTGACATAGGTTGCAGCACTCTCTAGGGGGGTTGTGTTAGGGCCAGTTTCTCCATGTTTTTGGATTGTTAAAAGTGCTGTTGTGCTGAAATATACAATATGCAATATCAACGGCATTGCGGAACACCCCTGTAACCTTGTGCCAAGGTGACAGGTTAAGGAACTACCAATCAGAAATGAGCTAGTGTGTATATGGGCTGGGCGTGGGGAGACTAACGTTACTTTAACCCATTATTGTACGTTTTCTCACAGCATGGGAAAGAAATGTGACTTTTGTGTAATAATAACCACTTTTTAGATTGTCTTTTTCACAGTAATGCACAAATGACTTTTTTAGTGGTCACCTCTCCTCTTAGGTGCTGTAAAACCATTTAGCACTGAAAAAGGTAAGGTATGAAGAAAGCAGTGGGAATAAGGATGAGCATTCTAGCTTTGTGTAAACAAAAGGAGCAGGTGGTTAACCTAAAATGTACCTGAGGAGATACATCTATATATTCCAGACAATAAATAATTCAAGACATTATTGTGACCTCATTATTTAAATTATCTGTAGAAGAACATTGTTTTGACTTTACAAAATGTCAGCTTTTTTTGGCAGGTCTTTCAAAGAACAATGCTGTCATCACAGCCTGCCTGAATGAAACGCGATCCCTCACCAGCTATCGCTCAGCATGCACTTTCCTTCCCATGCTGTCTTCTTCTTCTTCGCATTTACCGGCTGTGAACTCCGGCGGAAAGTTCTGGTTGTTCGTCCACTTCTGGACTGCAGTCCTGTTCCAGAACCTGAATGTTGTGTGTGCATCCGTTTTACAGATCTGTATGCAGACTGTTGGTTCCTTGCCTCTCAGGCAGATGCACTCCGACTTCGAAGGAAGCTCCCAATTAGTCGACTCTTACGTCATGCTTTTGGGTAGGCAGTGGGTCTATTCTTGTTTTTCCCCTATTAGGGCCCCGGAACCCACACGGGGGCCATGCTGTCTTCTGTGTCATGTACCAATCTTCTCCTTGGCCCGCTCTGCCTCTCTTTTCCAGTACAGTTCCCACAATTCTACATAGCAGATTGCAAAATGAAAGTAAAATAAAAACATTTAATTACTCAAATTAAGAATACATCATCATTAGGGAGAAAGTTGAAACAAGACCTTGCCTGAATTACATTGAAAGATGGAGAAGGGACTTGTTTAACCATCCAATAAGAATCAGCCACACCAAACTGTATATGAGACCATGTACTGGAGAACATCTGGTCGGAAGGCATGAGGAAGACAAAGGAAGAGATGATTAGGTTTAGTTTTAAAAAAACGGATCAACATCATGGCAGAAGGGTTGTAACCCATTAGTGCTCCGTTTACTTCTAACTCAAGTCTGAGTCGGAAGTTCTCAGCTCAGTACATGAACTCCATAGCACTGGTGATGATCCTGAAATACTTTAGGTAGATTTTTTTCTCCACATTTTGCCAGGACAGTGCTGTTATGCTACTGTTTTCGATTTCCAATTGCCAAGGGATTTTTTAGCTGCGCAACAATACACATGGGATCCGATCTTACTACCCAGAGACCAGGAAAAATGACAAGTCCACATGGAAAAATCCCAGCTATACTGGAGCCTGAATCTGGGACCTCCAGCACTCGAGGCGGATCCATGAATCGAGACCATGATAGACGGTGTAGCTGCATCCTGCAAAAAAAGATGAACAAATCCAACACTCAAGCCATTTGAGAAGTGCGGGACAAATGCAAAAAATCAGGTCCTGCACTATAACCCAGTAATAGTACAGTGACAAAAGAAAAAAGAAGAAAATTAAGAATAGACGACGCCAGCCAGAGAGATGAATGGATGCAGGTGATATCTGCAGCGATGAACCTCAAAAGCTCGGAATGCTGAAGAAGAAGAAGACATCAAGTTTAATTAATTTTTTTAATTTTTAAGGTCAACCAAATTAAACTTAGACAAACTCTATATTTCCAGGCATGTTCAGTGGTTACCATTATACTTTGATGCTTGCAAAACATGGCATGGCAAATCAGTTGAAGTTGCCAGAGTATGGAAAAACAAGGGCAACAAACTCTTCCAGCAAAAGAGGTACATTGATGCAGTTAATGCTTACACGCAGGTAAAGAAATCAGAATTTTTTGTAGAGATTAGGTAAAATTGGTTGGCAGCAACTAGGGAATGGGGGAGGGGGAAAGGGGTTATTAATACAGTTAAATAATTCCAGTATACCACAGTTTAAGTCAGCGCTAGTCCGTTTGGCAGCAGGCCACTTTGTGTTGATTTTGGCAATTGTATCATCAAACGCTTCAGAAAGCGATATGTTAATGTCCTGTGTTCACCCTCATATTGGTCGACCCCCCTACCTATTCACTCATGGATCATGTCTTTGATTACTGTCTCTATATTAGTTGGTCATTTTTAACAGTAGTTTTGTGTTTGTGTGGTTTGTTTTGTGTTGATCGTTTTGTATTTGTTAACTAGATATGTTAATGTCCTGTGTTCACCCTCATATTGGTTACCCCTTCCCCCTTTTCCACTATTTATGCAGAAACAATACCTCCCCTTACTATCTCTGTGTTGATTAGGGAATTTTAAAACAAACATTTATTGTTGTTGTTAATGTCCTGCAATCACCTTCATTTTGGTTGACCCCCTGACTATTTATGCAAGAACCATTCCTCCCCTTACTATCTCTGTGTTAATTAGGGATTTTATAACAAACGTTTTTTGTTGTTGTTAATGAGATATGTTAATATCCTGCAATCACCCTCATATTTTTAGATCCCCTGCTTGTTCACTGAGGAACCATGCCTTCATTTATTGTTTTAATTAGTTATCTTTTAGCAATAATTTTTATTGGTTAACTAGGGATATGAATGTCTTGTATCTACCCTAAGATTGTTTGATCCCTGTCTCTTCTTGCAGGAACATATGAACACAGTTTTCATTACTCTTTCTATGTTAATTAATTGTTTTCTAACCAAAGTTTCTTTATTTATGAACTAGATATGTTCATATTCTTATGTTGAAAGCTTTTATTTGTCATGTCAGAGTTGCCTTAATGCTCCAGTGGAATCAGATGATTTCTCACTGAGTCTTGGAAACAGATCAGCTGCACTGTTTTACCTCGGAAAATATCAGGTATGGTTTCGTTCAGTTTTGAAGGATTATGTATGTAGCCTTTTTTATGATATTTCAGCATGGTATATTCTTCTGAAGCCCGTGCCCGTCTCAAGCACAAGCAATGTATTTTGTAAAAATCTTTATCTTAATTTTTTTCTTTGGCCTTCGTCCAGGCCTTGAGTGTTGCCTATGCATCCATTTTACAGACCTGACTTAGTTGTGTGCAGACTGTTGATTCCTCACCTCTCAGGCAGACACACTCTGACGTAAAGGAAACATTCATCCTATCTACTTCCGTCAGGTTCCTGGCTGGGAATTTGTCTATAGGGTGACAGCACAGAGGTGGTGCACCTCTTCATCCACAGTGATTTTATGCCTGTGTCGCATGATGGAAATAAAACTCAGTAATTATTGTATTAACTAACACATTTACTAATAAAATACAAACATTCATTAACCGGTACCTGCACAGAGTAAAGGGAATTAAATGGCATGATATGGACAAACTAGAGTGCATACAGAACGCGGCTATGCGGCTCATTCTGGGTTGCACCAGAGACACTCCAGTGGTGTGTATGCGATACATCCTTGGTTTGCCGACGGTTGCGGGTAGGCACAAGGTGATGCAGGCGAAGTCATATCTCAGGGTAGCTGCAGACACAGACCACCACGTGTACAATGCGGAGAAGCAGATGGATCACCACAGTCTTGTGAGATTGATGCAGTTGGGGGTGACGAGAGGTTCTGGCAGAAGCTCAAGGCTCAGAGGAAAGGCAAGACGTTTAATCAGAAAGCTACTGGCACCATTAGTATCGGAACTCTTCGCTGGCTGCTGAAAATGGGGAAGGAGCGCTTATGGGAATGCCCAGAGTGCTGTGATGTTGGTTCTTGAATCAAATCAAATAGCATGATAGAATCACTAATGTTGAGCTTTGGGAGATGACAAAACAAGTGCCATTGGACCAAGAGGTGAAGAAAAGACACTACCTTTGGAGAGAACACACGTTGAGAAAACCTGAGAGAAATATAACTAGAATATTTTTGCACTGGAACCCACAGGGGCATAGAAATAAACTCAGAGACACAACAACAAAAACACTGAGACGGGAGCTAGAGGTTTATGTTTAAACAACGGATCAATATCTTGGCACAAGGGCAGTAACCCATAAGTTAGTTAGTTGGGATATGATTTTTGCACTCCGGACATGTCCATAGGTGCTTAAATCCTTCCCCCAATATGAATCCCAGTATCCTGTGACAAATAGTGCCAGTTCTTTTTTGATTGATAAGTCTTTTTGAATGTTGAAAAGTCTTTTTGTATGCCTGGTAGTGTCTCTCGCTTTTGGCTATGCGGATCTTAACTCCTGAGTCTTTCATTCTGGTGAGCGATGTGGAGTCTCTGTCCTCCACTTAAAAAGACTAACGCTTCCCGTCCTGGTCAGGGTGCAATTTTTCGTTATTTGAAGCCCTACTCTGGCTCTTGCCAGGGGCCGTAATATAGCCAGGCATTACATCTCAGAAGATCAGCTACAAGAGCAAGAGGACGGCCGCGGAAAACATGGATCAACAAAATTAAAGACACTCTATGCCTTCACGGCATGACAATAGCCAGTGGCAGCCAACATGCACTGGATTGCAAATTATTCCTCCCCACGACGCTTAACGGCAGAAGTGGTTTATGATGATGATGATGATAAATATGGTCTAATGGTTGAACTTGGTTTCTGGGACCTCTCCACGGTGATCTTCATCCACATGGTGGCACATTGTGTCATAGGGTGAATATCGCTTGTGTGATGTCCTGGTGGGGTAGAAAGTCAGTCAGTCAGTCCTCCACTCAGCATTATGTTGTAATTATGATGATTATTCACCATCCTTTTTAGGATGAAATTTTTCGTTATTTGAAGCCCCACCCCTGGCTCTTGCCAGGGGGCCGCAACATAGCCCGACCATAAATATGGTCTAATGGCTGAACGCAGTTTCTGGGACCTCTCCATGGTTATCCTCATCCACATGGTGACACTTTGTGTCTTCTGGTGTTTATCACTTGTGTGATGTTCTAGTGGGGTAAAAACTACTGCTACTACTACTCCACTCTTTCCACTTCTCTAAACGCATTAATAATATCAGCATGATCCATTGGTTGACCTTCAGCAGTGATAGCAGATCCAGCCAACTTATCAGCGCTTTAATTTCCATCGGCTTCTGCATGCTCTGGAATGAAGATAAAGACAACATCACGCACAGTGGACTTCTGTAATGGCTTAATCCACTGCCTTCGTACGGAACCTGCCTGGATCTTCTGGATTATGCTCATAAAATCGCTAAGTATGCACACATGGGTATAGTAACCTGTTCTACTTCTAACTCAGATCTGAGTCTGAAGAATCTCAGCCCAGTACACGAACTCTGTAGCACCAGCGAGGATCCTGAAATACTTTGGGTAGATTTTCAACTCCAAATTTTGCCCACGCAGCGCCGTTTGGCTACTCTTTTCAATTTCCAACTGCCAAGGGATTTTTGGTGTGCCCAACAATACACACGAGCATCTGATCTTACTACCCAGCAACCAGGGGAAATTACTAGAAATTACTAACAAATCCCAGCCTTCACCGGGGCCAAAACCTGGTATCTCCAGCACTCAAGGTGGACCCCATGCCTTGAGACCACACAGCCCCCAGTGGAGCTAGAGAGTGAAGTTAACAAGATATAAAGGATCTGGGGTGAGCTGCCTGCAGTAGCGAAGGATAGAACAATGTGGGTGACGTGAGTTGGTTGAGGGCTTATGCTTCGCTGGGCGATAGAAGGCAGAAGAAGAATCTGTTTTGATTGTTTGATAATATTGGACATGTTATGAGAAGAAATACTCTTTAAAAAAAATATGAATAATAATAGCACATTTATTATATTATCATTTTTTTAAAAACCAACTGATATTGGCTCCCATGTCAGCCATCTAAACTGGGGAACCAGGTAAGCTGCTGGGAAGTGTGCCCACTGCACCTAAGGCGTAAAAAGGTTTCTTTACTTTACTTATGCTTTAATCAGTATAGCAGACATTGTGTTTACAGTGTTTCAATCTTTCAACCAGGAGTGTGTCTTGGACATTAACAGGGCTTTGGGTCACAGATTTCCCTCTGATTCCCGCCACAAGTTGTTGGCCAGAAGGACATCAGCATTTGTGAAGCAAGGGCAGCGATCAGAGGCTGAGGACAGTAAGTGGCTAGCAATATTTAGATCTTATAGTCCATGTGATGTGGCATTAAAAATCATGTCTGTCGATAGCATTCAGTAGTAACTGTCAGTATTTCTGATACAGATGTTCTTCTTAATGCTAAACTGTCCGTCATCTTCTCTCTCTTTCTGATCCCTTCTGGCTCTCTTCTCTTGATACTCTGCAATTGTCATGATTACTGCAGCTTTTCCCTTATCATAACATGCATCAGGAATGTGTGCTGTCTTTGTTCTTTCTGATGCAGATAATTGTCAGGTCTCTATGTGAGTTTGCTGCTTTCAGGACATCTTCCTTAAGCTTTTTGTCTGTCCACGCAGTTCTGATCATTTTTGTCTGTCCATAGAGTTCTGATCGTTCATCAGTTTAGAGATATTTAAAATATTTTGGTTAATTGTTTTAAAACCAGTGTATTTAAATAGGTAAACTACTTTGGCCTTCAGTTTGCTGTTTTGCTGTACTTGTAAATCCTACAGTCCAGTTCATAATTTGGGTGTCCGTGTAGAGATTACAAAATATGTGAATCAGCTAACACCTTATGGTTGTGGGCAGGTTTTTTTTTTTCCGGTGGCACACAACAGTACACAGTACCTGCACCTCTTTTCTAAGCATCATTCTTTCATCCCTGCTGTGATAGATACATTATGCTGAGTGATAGCACCTTTTTTTGTTAATTCTTGTTATGAGTACCAGCACCTATTTTTCTAGAAAAAAAGCCTTTGTTATAAGAGATGACAGAGATCCAGGTTTGAATCCTCGGTAAGGTTTTGGATTTTTCTGTTGGGGGCACAAAATGCAATCCTAACCTACATAGTCATGGTAACAGAACTATCCATGCAGCCCTAAATCCTCAGGCTTAGAGAGACACCCCCCCCCCCCATCTCACCACCCACCCACTACAAAAGTGATATGTACAGACATAAATGGCAGTTTTTTTTCTTTTCAATAAGAGTAGACAGGACAGTAAATAACTAATCAGAGATTTCTTTTTTACTATTCAATATTAATAAAGTGCATGTCAAAACAAAGTTTTCTTGTGTTGATTCTGGGGCCCCATTGTGGGAGCAAAAAGCATTGTAGACACACTGCATGCTTTAACAAGAAAGTCATAAAAATCAACTAAAAAAAAAATCAGGGTGCTATCTTTGAAATCAGAGTACTTCTGCCTGAGAGGCGAGGAACCAACAGTCTGCATACAGATAAGCCAGATCTGTAAAATTCAAGTCCTATAACAAAACCAAAGTCGAGACGTGGGTAAACAGCCAGGATTTTCTACCAGAGTTTACAGCCAGTGAACACAAAGAAGAAGAATGAAAAGAAGAAGAAGAAGAAAATGTTTTCCTCTTGTGAATTTAAATAAAAAGGACAGAAATATTGCACAATTTATTACTAGCAAATTTGGCTACATCCAACCTTCCTTTATTTATTGATTGTCTTTAAAGTAAAAAATAAGTTCTTTATTTGAACCATACTTAATCTTGTTTATTCAAATTCTGATACTTAGTTTTCAAATGTCCACTTTTTTTGCCTTAAAAAACTGATTATTTGGTCATCATTAATATTCTGCACGGTGTTGGTAATTTCAAATAAAAGTAATTTTACTAAAGTTTGTATCTTGTTTTACAGGTTATAGGGAACTGAATGATTTTGTTAGCAGTAAACAGTTTAATCTTCAGGGCACTAAAAGAGGTATGCAACTGTTTGATGTTTCCTTGCTTAATTGGGTTTTATTGTATCACAAAAGCTACATTTATACTCAGTAGTGTATGTGAAAGTCAAGACAGCTCCCGGCTTTATACTACACTATACAAATATTACATGGAGATTCATAAATCTTAATCTTACACTGGATTTGGCAATATGTGTGTGTATGTGCGTATATATATGTGTGTGTGTATATATATATATATATATATATATATATATATATATATATATACGCACACACAGTAAGACCTCATCACAAACATGCTTTATAAGAACACTTTGTTAACATCAGCAAAGTTTTGGTCCCAGCAGAGATGTATTGTTGTTATTGGTCCCCAGTTAGCACAAATTTAATTTGCAGGAACTCCATTTCATTCCCTTTTTACTGGTGTTGAGGAGCGGCTGGCCGAACCGTTGGAACGAGGGGCTCTCAAGCGGAAGATCCGGGTTAGAATCCTCAGTAATGCTGGGGATTTTGTTCTGTCAGGAGCAAAATAAAATCCTCACCTGCACAGTCATGGCGACAACACTAGCAATGCGGCCGTAAATCCTCAGACTCAAGGACCCCCCTGCCTACACCGCAAAAGTGGTAAATAAAAGACTAATTGGCTTTTGGGGAAGGGGGGGGGGGGGGGGGACAGTTTTTGGTGTTAATGAGGCTTTACTATATATTTATGTATATATATATATATATATATGTGTGTGTGTGTATATGTATATATGTATATGTACATATATATATATGATATATATATATATGTGTGTGTGTGTGTGTGTGAATATATGTGTGTATATGTATGTATATATATATGTGTGTGTGTATGTGAATATATGTGTGTGTATATGTATATATAAGGCTGTCTCTCTCTCTCTTTCTCTCTCTCTCTCTCTCTCTCTCTCTCTCACACACACACACACACATGTATTCACACAAATACATATGTCTGTACATGTACACCTATCAGTGTAGGTCAGCTGACACTTGATAGGTGTGTCAGTATCACACTGGCTGCATTTACTTCCCAGAACTTTAGGTACCCACTTGAGGCTGGGTTGACATACAAGTCCAAGTAAATTTGTTTTTTTTTTAATTTCCACCTTGTACACAAGGTCACCGAGGTCAGCAGCTATTATGCTGTGATGCTTCACATATAAATATGTGTATATTGTTTTATGTCGATGCGAACACTTCGTAATGCCGAGATCCTGGGTTCGATCCCAGCCTTGCGTTGGTTTCGACAGTGGTATCAAGAAAGCCGACCGTCCAGAAAGTAATGGCAAACTACTGGACGTAAATTTGCCTAGAAAAGCCACGCCCTGTAAAGGATACGCAACTAACCTTAACCTTATATTGTTTTATCAGCCTGACTGACTGACGTTCAATCCCACCAGGACCATACAACAAGCGATAAACATCCACTGACACAAAATGCCACCATTCGGGTGAGAATCAACTGGGTGCAAGTCCCAGAAACCCCGTTCAACCCATAGGTTATATTTAGTTCTCCTGATAACTGCTGGGTTGGGGCTTTCAAATAACAACAAAAAATTGCGTCCCACATTGAGACAGGGATTATTAGATCTTAACAGCCTACATGGTTTAAAATATGTGTTGCATGATGGAGTAAAAATGTTGTCGTACAAGTATACAAAAAAAGCAGGGTAAAAGGTTTATAATAGATAAGAAAATTAAATCGATCAAAGTGATTAGTAATTGTAACAAAAGGATAATAATTTGTTTAACACTTCCAGATGACTTCTTGAAGGAAGTAGATTGTCTGGAGAAATCAATAAGCAATATGTAAGTATAGTTGCTTTTGATCATTTAAAAAAATGTAATTTGTGTGTAAACTTTTGAAAAACTAAAGTAGTTTTCAATTTCTTGATTTATGAACACATTCTTTATTCACATATTTTTCTTTTTCACATTCAGTCTGCTGGAAGGTCCTGGTTGTTCATCCAATTCTGGACTTTTGCTCTAAAATCTGTGACTTATGAGCTGCATTATCTTCACAGCACTCCGGACACATCCATAGGTGCCCAGATTCCCCCCCTCAACATATTTATCGGCCTCATGCGGTTAATAGTGCCAGTCCTATGCCGGTTGACAAGACTTCATTTGCATCCGGTGTGCTTCTCATGATCTTTACTCCCAGTTATTGTATTCTTAGCAGTGATGTGGACATGTTGCTTCCAAAATACTCGGAACATCCTATCTCTCTAAGGGCATTGACAATGTTTGCATTATCCATAGGCCAGCCGTCTTCAGTTAGGTCGGTACCTGCCAGTAAATCAGCTTTTTTTATTACCAACAACACCTGCATGTCCTGGGATAAATATGAAGATAACTGCACACACAGGAGAGTTTTGCAATGACTCAATCCACTGTCTTCGTAATCAGCCTGCCTCGACCCACCAGATCATGCTAAAAAATCATTCAGCACACACACACGCGGGAATAGTCCTGTGATTCACATATAAAATGGTGTGTTGCCTGTCGTCGCAGTATTGGTAGTGCCCTTATGTGGTTATAATTGATCGCATGTGCAACTACTGATTTGTTTGTTACCTCTGCTACCGTCGATGATGAACTGCATTTCTTATATCAGACTGTTTGTGTTAGCACTTCTGATGGCTACCGTATGCTTTTAATGAGTGTGTATGCTAGTGCATATCCCGAGACAGCAGTCTGTCAGTCTATCCGCAAGGAACTGTGATGAACATTCTGTGTGTTTTTTGTTGGCACAGGAGCAGAGCAACTATGGGGTGACCCGTTTGCTATGAAGCTGAAACTAACATTACCATTACCAGAGACAAGTTATATCCATGTATTGTGGATGCACACATTTTTCATATGTTAATATGTTGTTGACAGGACAAGGACAGCTGCACATAAAAATGAGACCAAAGAAACACCAGTTGTCTCATTTGGACAGAACACTGTTGTATGTCAAGCCACAGATGCAGTGTCTTTCCATTACACAAATGAACAGGGCAGACATTTAGTGGTAAGTAAAGCTGTTTTAATATGTATAATAATAATTTTGTATACACTTTTAATAGGAGTCTTTTAAACAACATGTGGAAGGGGTACTTTTAATGATGGGGCAAGGACTTGGTGCTTTGAAGGTGATGGCATCAGCGGATATGAAACAGAAAATGCTCTACACACTCTACCAGCAACTGATTATTTCAGTGATAGAGTTGGGTTAGGGACTGCAAACATTATCTTATACCCAGACAGAGAAGATAAGACGTTGAAGCCATGCAAGTCATTTTGGGGTGTACATGAGACACGCCAGTTGTGTGCATGCGACACATACTTGCATTACCATCCGTATATGAGAGATACAAGGTTTTACAGGCGAAAATTAGCTTAAAGTTGTGACGGACAGGGAACACCTTCTGCATGAGGCCTTAGAGGATAGCAAAGGAAAAGAGTTGGCTCTTGTTTGCCACAGGCAGAAGTCACGATCAGAACTGTTTGTGCTACTGACAAGATAGCACATGTTGAAGAATGGGTTACAGTGCCACCCAGCAAAATGAACTTGCACAGAGTGATAGTGACCTTGGACCGAGGGTGCCGGGAATGGATAGCTGGTGAAACAGAGTCAGCGGAGCAAAAGCCTATCAGTGAAAATGTACGCCTAGGTGACGTCACAATATATACAGATGGGTCTGTAGTGAGAGGTAAGAAGAGTGGGTGGGATTTTATTGCAAAGGTGAATTGAAAGAAAAAGGTGCTTGAAAATAGAGAGCCTCACGTACAGCTTAACTGTATCCAGTATGAGAATGGAGGTAGAGGCAGTAATGGCAGCTTTCCGATGGCTTGAGAACAGCACAGCCCAACATGTTGTGATTGTAACAGACTCACAGAGTGTGCTTTATAAAATTAAAACTGATGTCCTGTGTGCAGTGGTTTGCATCACTTGATAAGACTCAGATCAAGAGCATGTTTTGATTTTTCTGTCCAGTAGATTTAGGTATGCGAGGTAATGAGCAGACTTCTAGATTGGCTGCTGCCACTTCTCTAGATGGTGAGCTACTGTATGATAAAGCGAATGTGGTGAAGGCTCTATGGGATCAAATGGACAGTGGAAGAGAACGGATAGGGAGTAGGAAGTTCAGGAAGCTATTCAACATTGAGGGGGAAACAGAGGTGGAGTTTTAATCAGGTTGCAGCTGGTATTATAAGCATGTCACCTGTTCGTTGGTTATTGAAGAAGGGGATGGAGCATGTGTGGGAATTCTTGAGTGCAGTGATGTCTGTTCTTCTTTCATTCATTCTTATTGTGTACTTGATCTGTTGCAGTTGTTTCTGTAGAGAGGGTTGCATTTTTAATCCTCTTGATATATTTATGTGTGTTGCTATGTTTTTTTTTAAAATCAAAGGATTTGTGTACACAATATTGATACAGGGGTGTAAATATTTGTTGCTAAGTCAAGTCACTGCTAAGGCATATTGAGATCGTGGTGTTAGACTACCACAAGATACTGCACCACAAAAAGCACTGTCAAACACAATGGGGGCAGAGCTTGAGGTGGACCATGCAAGATGTGAATTAATGTAATGAATCATGGCCTGTAAATGCCAGCATCTATGTAGCACATATCAAGGCTAACACACGAAGCCTCTTTAAAACCTGACACTGAAAGGCAAAACAGTACTAAAGAAGCAGGAGGAGGTCAACTCATAATATTGGGTAATTTTGACAATGTTAAATCAGCCAAGAAGCAGCAGATGAATAGTGGCGAGATGCTTGCCTTCCAGCTTGAATGTTTTCAGTTAGAATCTATTTCAAGGCAGGGCTTTTATAATTAACCTTGACTTGTTAGTTAAAGAAGCTTAAAATTATTATCGGGAAATATCTTGGAAAGTAAAGGCTACCAGCATGGTGGCAAAATACCTCTTCAAAGCCTAATTCTTCTTTATTCTTTTTATTGTCTCACTGATACCAGGTTGTAGCCCTGTGTTGTGGTTTTCTGCATTTGTCTTGCACTTCTTCAATGGCTTGGCTAATAGATGTGGTCATCTTTTTTTTCCGTTTTTTTGTGTGTGCAGGTTTCAGCTACACCATTTGTCCCCTCTCTTTCTTGGACTTCTCCTTTCCTTCCTTCCAGATATTCTGCTGTAAAAAAAATGTCATATGTAGTTTGGTCTGGCTGCATTTTCACTAGATGGCAGACCATTGCATTCTTTGTCTGCAATATAATTCAGACATGTGCTTGTTCCAACTTCCTCTTTAATACTGGTATCTAGTAATTCATTCTTTCTTGTTTAGTAGTGGTTGATTACAGCACTGCCAGCTTGCTAGGCCAGTCTCAAAGTCCAGTTGATCTATAAAAATATGGGTCTAGCGGCATATCCCTGATTCATTCATTCATTCAGTAGCATGTCCCTCGCGGAACCTCGCTGCCATAACAACCCTCCGGAAAACCTTCCTATCCTGAGCAAGATGTCCTGCGTCTGATACACCCATCTGGAGATCATCTGCCACATCCTGCACCCATCTTCTCCTTGGCCTTCCTCTTCCTCTCTTCCCAGGCATATACCCCTCCATTATTGTTCTCTCTAGACTTCCATGACGTTTCAAGTGACCAAAATATTTCAATTTTCTTTGTTTTATTGTCTTTACTAGCCAACCCTCTTCAATATTCAGCTCTTGAAGTATGGATGCATTTGTTCTTTTCTTTACCCAAGATATTCTTAGAACCTGTCTGTAACATTTATATTCAAATGCATTTATGCGCTGTTCCGCTTGTTTATAAGTGTCCAGGTCTCACAGGCGTATGTTGCAATGGGAAAGATGCATGCTCTTAAAAATCTGACCTTTGTAATTCTATCTGTACAATTCCATAATTTATTCAGTTGTTTTAGTCTTTGAAGAGCAATTGATAGGTTCCGTTTAATACAAACTGATACAACAATTAAATGAATAGGGTCCTATAGTTATTTGTATTTCAGACTATCAGCCACCTGTATTTCTCCAGAACTCTTATAATCCTATTCCAATGCTTCACATGTGGGTTCCATTGCCCAGGTTTTTTGGGGGGTTGGGGGGGGGGGGGTAGACCCACTGCCCACCTAACAAGCTTGTCATAAAAAGTAACTAATTATGGGTTTACTGAAATCTTATTGTTTTGGGCAGAAAGGCGTATGTATTAGGCCTAGCTGTAAACCACAACACTGTGTACCAACCACCCTTTTAAGACTTAACACAGAAAATGGAGAAAATATTGCAATACTGGGTCAGCTTTAGAGTTGTCTTGGTCAGAAGAAACAGAAGGCACTCATACTGCTAAAGAAGATTAAACTAAAAAATCACTAGGTGATAAGGTTCATCATCATTCCGTAACACTGCGTGTCGTTGGGTCACCAGTTTCTGTTGATTGTCTGATCAGCTTTCTCCACTTTTGGCGGTCAGTTGCGATGGACTTCATGGTTGCATGCCTGAGGTCTGTCCAGTCAGTCAGGTTCTGTAACCAAGTCTTTCTTGGTCTGCCTCTTCTCCTCTTTCCCTTTACTGAGCCCTGCAGTATTGTTTTTGAGATAAGGTTCACCAACCATTAAACTTCAAAAAATGTTAATCTGTTTGTAGATGCTATACATTTATTCAGCTTTGAAAGCACACTTAATTAATTTGGATGTTACAAAAATTAATTCACATTGTTAAAATTTGTATAAAAACCTGAATGTAATTATTGAGTTTTAAATGCATTGGTTGAGTTTTGTGTTTTATCGTCCATTTAGGCTAACCGTCACATTCCCAAGGGATCAACACTGATAGTAGAACGACCATTTGCTGCGGTGTTGTTGCCTGAACATTATGACACACATTGTCACTATTGCTTCTCTTTGCTTCCTCTAACAGCCATAGGGTAAGTTCACATGACAGCTGTCTTCTTCTGCTTTTTCTTTGCGTTAACCAACTGTAAACTCTAGTTGAAAGCTCTGGTTGTTCGTCCACTTCTGGACTGCAGTCCTGTTTCAGAACCTGAGTGTTGCGTGTGTATCCGTTTGACAGATCTGACACATTTGAGTGCTGACTATTGGTTCTTTGCCTCTCAGGCAGATGCACTCTGACTTCAAAAGAGGCTCCCAATTAGTCAACTCTTAGAACATGCTTTTAGATAGGCAGTGGGTCTATTCTTTTTTCCCCCCCTATAATAGGGTCCCGGAACGGATGCTGTGTGAGCTGCATGCAGTAGCGGAGGATAGAACAACTTAGTATGAGTCGGTTGAGGACCTATAGTCGTTTGGTGGGAAGTAGGCAAAAGAAAAAATTTTAAGTACCATTGGGAGATTTAGTTTCATTTTATTTTGGTAATTATATTTTAGGTTTTCGATTAGAAGCCATATATAAACCCTTACTCTGGTTAATGAGGGTAAATTCATAACAACAGAGATGAGATTATCCACGGCCAGCTCCAGTCAGGCCTTACAACTGAATCACGGCATATTTTCGAGGAGTCCCCCTCGTAAATAGGTTATTGCAAGCGTTTCCATGTTGCATTTTGTGACATTATAATATGCTTACAAACTTCTGTGTTCTGATTGTATTCGTATTACAAATCGACAAGCGGATATTGTAAAGTGGACATACAGGCTGTTAGAATACAGCAATTTTAATTGTTTTTCACGGGAGACAGTCGTGTTGTGATGTGTATGTCAGTGTCACTGTTTCTAGTCAGTAGTTCGGATTTTTTGGGAACTGGCTGTTTATTACTTTTCTACTTTAAATGTAGAAATCTAACTTTTAGGGATAATACAAACAGGTAATTTAGAAGCCATATCTGGAGAATATCGACAGTTGTCAGGTGCAAACTATCTTGTGTTTGAAGAAAACTATTGCTTTCATATTGACTGTGCATAAATGGTGCAACCACACTGTGGATAAATTGTGTCAAGATATTTCGGAGCTCTAGGTAAGTGGATGAAAATAATATTTAATTTACTAACTAACTTCTCACAGCAAGTCACTTTTTGCCTCTTTACTAATTGTTGACTAACAGTATAATTATATGTTTGTTAATTTTTGTAAACTGGCTTTTGTTTTGCTTCGCGAACACTGGCTGTAAACTCTTGCGGAAACTTCTGGTTGCTCGTCGACTTCTTTTGCATATTGCAGTTCTACGGTCTGTTAATTTTTGTAAACTGGCTTTTGTTTTGCTTCGCGAACACTGGCTGTAAATTCTTGCAGAAACTTCTGGTTGCTCATCGACTTCTTTTGCATATTTTCAGTTCTATGGTCTGGTAATTTTTGTAAACTGGCTTTTGTTTTGCTTTGCGAACACTGGCTGTAAACTCTTGCGGAAACTTCTGGTACTCATCAACTTCTTTTCCATATTTGCAGTTCTATGGTCTGTTAATTTTTGTAAACTAGCTTTTGTTTTGCTTTGCGAACACTGGCTGTAAACTCTTGCGGAAACTTCTGGTTGCTCACCGACTTCTTTTGCATATTTGCAGTTCTACGGTCTGTTAATTTTTGTAAACTGGCTTTTGCTTTGCTTCGTGAACACTGGCTGTAAACTCTTGCGGAAACTTCTGGTTGTTCATCCACTTCCCTTGCATATTTGTTCCCAAAAAATTTGCAATGATAAGGAATTGATTTCATCCAACAAGATGAAACTGGACAAATTTGTTTGTGCTGTTTGTACCTTGAGGATACATATTTAGTAGTGCTATAAGTACTGTTAAGAAAACTATTTTGGGTGAAAAAAGTATTGCACATATCAATTTCATACTGATTGTGCTTGTTTACTAATTATTAAATAACAGTATAATTGTATGTCGTAGTAGTCTACAAATAATAATAATAACCATCAATCATTTATATTTATGTTATGTATGACATGTGTATGTTTCATAGCAGTATTTTTATGCGCTAAATTTGATAAAGTACAAATGTCACACACCGCCCCTCCCCTCCCCCCCCCCTTTCTGCTCCTCCGATGCAGCAATACCCTCTCAGAATCAAAGAGTTATCACTGATATTTCTTTACTTTTGCTGGAACAACTTTTAGTTTACATCTAAACGTTATTGATGTTTATGTTCACGTTGACTGTAGCAAAAGCATTTTTGTTTGTCTGTAAGAGCCTTTATTGTTATATTTAATTGGCACACTTATTTACCTTAAAAATGACCTATAGTTCTAAAAAATATGTCGAAAATTAATGAAACTGCAGTTTAATTTGTGTATACATCTCCTTGATAAAAACTGTGGACGCAGAGGGACTCAATTCTTGCACAAGAACGGGAATCCCCGTTGACCTTATTAGAGAAGGCAGTGGATTATCTTAGAAGAGCTGCCGCAGTAACAAGAAAAAATATTGTCATGAACAAACTTTTTTTTTTTTTTATTGTTACAAATTGGGCTCGCAGGCCCATCTTAAATTTGACCCTTTCAAGCATTCCTCTTTCATACAGCAGTTACTTTATATCTCAAGCATATTATGTTCATATATCAAAATTCATTGTATAAATGTAAAGTAAAAATACAGAAGCATGACTGACAAATTGTATACCTTCAAATATGCATGCAAAAAGACACACACACAATGCAGACACACAGACATACTTCATACTTCACAAGATGGATGAATGGAACAAAGTTTGAAAATTTTGACTTGCCTTTCTTTAAGGTGCCAGCGCTGTATATCAGTGAGGTTTTGTGGTGAAAAGTGCCGAGATGTTGCTTGGAGCTCCTACCACAAAATTGAGTGCCCATACTTGGATCTCTACCATTCTGTGAGTAATCTCATTTATATAAAATTGTAGACTATGTGATTTCCTGTTTGTCAAGATTCAGTTGGATGTAAACATAATAGAGTGCATTATAGTTAGTGATATTTAATGTTTAAATAAGGGGATGTGCTTTAACCTAAGGATTTAGGGTTGCATATTATGCTTCTTCTTCTTCTTCTTCTTCTTCTTCTTCTTCTTCTTCTTCTTCTTCTTCTTCTTCTTCTTCGCGTTCACCAGCTGTAAACTCTGGCGGAAGGTTCTGGTTGCTCGTCCACTACTGAACTGCAGTCCTGCTCCAGAACCTGAGTGTTGCGTGTGCATCAGTTTTACAGATCTCATTCTCTGGAATACAGACTGTTGGTTCCTTGCCTCTCCGGCAGATGCACTCCGACTTCAAAGGAAGCTCCCCAATTAGTCGACTCTTACGACATGCTTTTGGGGAGGCAGTGGGTCTATTCTTGTTTTCCCCCACAATGGGGCCCCGGAACCCACACGGGGGGCATACTATGCAACAGACTGGCTAAGATGTTTACTTTAGCCTCTTGCAGAGAAACTTTACTGAGGATTTGAATTTTATACTGAGGATTTAAACTCAGGTCCCCCTAAATATGAAGTTAAAAATCAAAATATGTGGGGTAAAAAACTTTCCGGGTTAAAAGAAAGAACTGAGGAAAGGCAGGGATTTCACATGTCAGTTCTGTAAAAAGTAAAATGGTCAGAACAAATTATATTGTACTAAATATTGTTTGCAATTTGCCAGCCTTATGATGTCAAACTTCTATAATGGTGATTTATTTTATTGTCATGCAGATTGGTATTGCTCACCTGAGTCTACGCATTATTCTGTGTGCAGGGCTGGACTTTCTGTTAGGTAACAAAGAATGTGGTTTTCTTCTTTGTGAAATTAGTAATTACAGATAATGTATTCTTAAAAATGCTCCGCCATCTCCATGATGAAGGTTTGCTACTGAGCATTCATTGCAGTCTTTGGGAATATTACATTGTGAGATCTCAATGCTTTAACATGGTGCAACTCTCATTCCCTGAGAAAAAAAGAAAAAAAAAAGAAGGCCGGGTCTCATATTAATTTTTGCTTTAAAAAAATGCACTAGTGCTTTTTTTTTTGGGTAATGTATTATTTTTCAGATACATAAATCTACATTTATTTGTATATATAATTCTATACTTATTCAAATACAGTCATGTCATCTTTTTCTGGAACATATTTATGACTCTCTAAATCCAAATTTTTTTCTGCCTGAATTTTTTGCAATTCCATTTCCTGTAGAACTATTAGCCCCACTCTTTTGTGTCGAGAAAGAAAGCTTTCCTTAAATGAACATTTTTCTGTCCATGTAGCCCTCTTAGTGCACTGGTAACACAGCTGTCAGTGATTTTATCCCATGAATTCTTCACCCAAGTTATGATGAGTCACCAAGCTAGGACTTATTTTGGGGGTAGGGCTTATAGGTATTTAAAAAAAAAAAAAACTCCTGAAAATAAAGCTTGGGCTTATTTTTGGAGTAGGCCTTTGTTTAAAGAAACATGGGACTTACTGTATAGCGGCAGTCAACATATGGTGTGTATTTATACATCTTAAGTTTAGTCAGGCAAACTAAGTCCACCAACACAAGTCACCCTCAATGTACTGTGTATTTGGATCCTGTGGATGCAGTATACCAATGCTTTTGCTGTCAACTTTATTGCTGCAGTAAGGCATCAGCTATGAAATTATTGGAGTTAATAAACTGTCCACCATGGAATTAGAATCCTAGTCATTCAGAATCATGAAACTGTTAAGTGCATTCACAAACCTGTAAGTTACCCACTGAGATAATGTGTATGTGTTATTAACAAAAGCAACATGTGTACAGGAAAATTAGTAGAGAAAGAAATAGACAATGACAGTATAAGAAATTTTTGTTTCTTTTGTTGTTTGAAAGTCTTTCATCATGGCCTAAATACAATTGATGCATTCTACTGGAGATTGTGAGGTAAAAAAAAGCATCATTATTCTTGTAAGTTGCAAGGCATTTAACAATAATGAGGACACATTACTAACAGTTCATTCAAGTAAAGGACCTTTTTCTCCCGGCCTCATGCCGGTACCTTTACTTCCCATGACTGGGTTGACCTGGGAGTCAAGGTCATGTTTGAAAAACATCCGTCTCCATGTGGATTTGAACCCACGACCTTCGAATCAGCAGACGAGCATAACAATTCATTTACAGTCTGGTAATTGTGTATTTTCATTTTGTATTAACATTTTAAGCTGTGAATTGTTACATTAATTAATTTCTGTGTAATCCTATTTAGATTTTTTAACTCAGCAGTCCAAATACCGCCAGTCAGAGAAAGCTTCAGAAAAAGGAATTAATCCAGATGGAAAGTATGACAGGAGTTACCTCACTGTTTACGATCTGATGACCCATGAAGACAGTACTTCAAGTCAGGATATGCTCCAGTATTCTTTAGTAAGTGCAGCGGAAACATATATGTACCTTCACAGTTATGTTCAGCTGTTGTATTGTGGAGGAGCAACTGACCGAACGGTTAAAAACACAGGGCTGTCATGTGGGAGACCTAGGTTCAAATCCTGGGTAAGGTTGGGGATTTTTGGGTGGGGGGGGGGGGGGGGCAAAAATCCTAAGCTGCACAGTGCTTGGCAACAGTAGTAGCCATGTGGTCCTAAATCCTCATGCTCAAAGCCCCCTTCCCACATCGCAAAAATGGTAAAAATAATCAGTAATGTCAGTGTTTTTCAGGGGGTAATTGTATTATAAATATCATCATCATATCTGTGGCACTGCGCCAAAGTAACATAAATGCTAAATTGTTGTTTCAAGAAAATCTTGTTTGAAAAGTTAGATCTGTTCAAAAAGTAGCAATTTATTTTGCTTTTTTTGTGTGTGTGTGTGTGTGGAGTAAGAATGTTCATGTATGCCTTTATTGCACTGTAGAGTGACAAATAACAGTCTTGAAAATGCACTTAGGTAAAATCGCATAGTGTGAACAATATATGCCTGTAGAGTGCAAGTCACACTCGCCATCGCCCTGGGCTGTGAGTCCCATGCCTCCTCATAGTGCAATTAAACACTGTCATCTGGAAAGACAGAAAGGTGTCAGTCATTAGTGCAGACCACATACTAGTAGACCCTCAACAGACGAAAATGTTAAGGTCATTAACCAAGGGCATATGTTGATCTTATAGAGACCAGACAAATGAGGCTAGAAAAAACACCAGTTCTGTACACATTTTGATTATAATTTCTCCAAAAACCTGAGCGTTAACTCTTTCAGTCCAGATTAATTAACACTTTAACCTTTTTCATCTCAAGGGGTTGGGCTTACAAGCAATAAATACATAGATCTGAAGGAGCTCAACAGAGGCACACTGGAACAGAAATGGTTAAACTAGTCAATTAGATACTTCTTCTTGTCTTTTATCCTAGAATGCCTCGCAGTCGCCGGGCCTGGAAGAGATCTCTGCTAATGAGCCCTTCTGTTCACTTCATATTCTGTATAACTTTGCTGCATGTCCACTTGTCACACTGTCTTGACCTGAAGCCCTGGAACTAGATTATCACATGTGATTTTTTTTTTCCTATGAGCTCTAAATTAACCACTGACAGTTTGCTGGAAGGTCACAGTGTTAAAAATCTTAGATACATGTTGATATCTATCTGTGATAGATGACATCGAAAACATTACATTATACTTAGAATACCAAAAAACTTGTGGTGAGTTGCTTGGTATCGAAAGAGTTAATGAATGGTTTCATGGTGCAGTAAAGATATACATTGAATTTGATTAGTCTATTTGTCATGGCAGGAAGAAAATTCTGTCTTGCAGACCGACCGTGGATAACATTTATGGTTAGCTTTTGCTTTACTTTATGGCCGGCCAGCGTGATGCTGACCACATCACCCAGCAAGTGCTAATTGGTCTATGAAATATAGGTCTAGCCCTATATGCCTAGTATTCCTAAAGGCCTTTAAAGGGTCCTGCAGTTTTTTTTTTTTAAACTTTACTTACCTAATGGTAGAGGCATCCATGTGTCTTCACAAGTCTTAGTTTACTGGATCAGTTCTGTTGATCATATTTTTCCATTTGTTACAAGAAGAGCTATCAAGGTAACAATAAGAAATAAAATTAAAAATGAAGAAATTAGACGAAGACTAGTCCTTACAGTACATTTAAAAAAGCAACAGTTGAGATAGTGTCCCCATCTGATAGGAATGCCCTGATACGAGCTCCCACAGAAGGCCTTGCTGAATAAATATAATGAACACAAGAACAGCCTCAAAGAAGTGGAGATCAAATGGCATCAAGAACAGCCTCAAAGAAGTGGAGATTAAATGGCATCAAGAACAACCTCAAAGAAGTGGAGATCAAATGGCATCAAGAACAGCCTCAAAGAAGTGGAGATAAAATGGCATCAAGAACAGCCTCAAAGAAGTGGAGATCAAATGGCATCAAGAACAGCCTCAAAGAAGTGGAGATCAAATGGCATCAATAACAGCCTCAAAGAAGTGAAGATCAATTAACACAGAGTATTGGAAAAACCACACAGACTATCCTTACATCTCTTCCCACACCTCAGTGAGGATACTGGAGGAAGAAAAAGAATTAGACCAACACCACACGGCATGCAGGAGAAAGATTGTAACATTTAATTTTCTGTGTGGGTTCCGGGGCCCCATTGTGGGGGAAAACAAGAATAGTTCTACTGCCTGCCCAAAAGCATGCTATGATAGTCAACTGTTTGGAAGCGTCCTCTGAAGTCAGTGTGCATCTGCCTGAGAGACAATTAATCAACAGTCTGCATACAAATGAGTAAGATCTGTTAAACAGATGTGCATGCAGCACTCGGGTTCTGGAACATGACTAGTGTGTGTCCAGAAGTGGATGAACAGACAGAAATTTCCATCAGAGTTTACAGCCGGTGAGCGTGAAGAAGAAGTAACAAATAGTAAGATTTAAAATTTACTGCAAAAATTATGATCTATGATAAGTTTATGATAGGAATTTTGGCATTTGTTTAGCCGAATATTATTTACCTTAGACTGCAGCCCTGCTTCTGATGACTCTTGTACATGCCAACTTCTTCAAGAAAGTGACCAGTTCTGGAGACTCGAACCAACTTTCAGAGAACTTTGCAAACTTGACTTTGAAAGGCAGAAACAAATCAGGTAATGTTGACCTTTCGGTTGGGTTGCTTTCTTAGATGGCTGGAGATGCTGAGATGAAGTTTAGTAAATTCATGTAATTCCTCTTGTGTTTAAAAAAATATTCACTTTTGTAAGAAAGTAAAAATTGGACGCTAATCCAGAACACTAAAAACCAAGATCTGTATAGAGATCTGAATCCTCACACCCCTTGGCAAAGGATCTGATGATGTTTTTAGAAATATACCTGCTTCCTGGGCAACAGCCTGTACTCCAATCCAACATGCCCAAGCCTGTGCCTTGGAGAGGAATGCATTCTAAAAAAATCAGGAATGTCAGCAGTATTCTTTCTGCTGAAGCACAGATGCCTGCATTGGTTGGGAGATGTCTCTCGCATGTAGGACGGTCATGTTCCAGATTATCAGCTGTATGTTGAACTGGTAACAGGGATAGGGTCAGCAGGAAGGTCAGTGCTACACTATAAGGACGTGTGCAAACGTGACCTGAAAGATATCAACATTGGCCACTGACACTTAAAGGTCCGACAATTAAGTAATAAGACTGATTACATAAAAATTAAAATAATCAACAGTTGAAGATAAAGCCTGTGTCTGATACAAAGTAAGCCCCATGTGCATTGACACAGCAAGTGGCACGATCCAACAAACACTGGAACGACCTCTGTAGTTCTTCTGTTATTATGGCCCTTAAAGTTGATCTTACGTCCATTTGGATGTCATCAGTATCGTTAAAGAAGTGTCCTTTCAATCGTAACTTTAACTTTGGGAATAGAAAATAATCACAGGGAGATAAATCCGGGGATTAGGGTGGAAAGCTGAGAACACAAACTGATTTTTACCCCGAAAATTCTTGTTTGGATGATGTCTCTTGGGTACTCAATCCGCTGATGTTTTTGGTCATCAGACAATGAATGTGGTACAAATCGGCAAACAACTTTTTTATGCCAAAATCTTGCACTAAAATGTTATGAATGGTCTCTCTATTAACACCAGATTCATCTGCCATTATCCTCACAGTAAAACAATGATCTTCTTGTATCCATTCTCTGACTTTTGCAATAAGTTCATCATTACGAACAGAAATTTTACGTCCATATCTAGGTGCATTAGTAATCATTTCCACGCCACTTTTAAATCGTGAATACCACCTGAACATTTTTGCACTAGATAAACAATTATCCCCTTAAACTTGTTGCATCATTTCAACTGTTTCAATGGCGCTTTTTCTGAATTTTAAAAAGAATTTAATGTTAGCGTTTTGCTCCGTGATGATTACCTAACAATGCACCTCTGACTAGGTCAACAAAATGGGGGCTTGTTTGTTGTTTGCTTATCGAGCGGCTATGAAAAGTTGCCAGATCATAGATGAATGTTACCTCTTTAGATTCCATGCTTTGCTTCATAGATGACATTTTTGTCTTGGCCATAATGAAATCAATCTCATTACTTAATTGTCGGACCTTGTAGGAGAGATCAGCTGCAGACCGATTCCTTTGGAGGCAGGCAGTGAAAGAAGTCAAACGCAACCATCAGTAGAGAGGAGACCTCTGAGAGAAAACTAGTCTCAGAGTGATAGAGTATCAATGTTTTTATGTGGCCACTTCCTGTTCTCAAAACCAGCAGCACAACTCTATGGTCCCCAGGGACTAACAGTTAGCTACATGTTTCTCACCTTAAACATTCATCATCATCATCATCAGTTTCCACCTGCAGATCCAAATAAGTTGTGAGTTCAAATTCACATTGTGCCGGATTTTTTTTCTTCGAAACATGGCCTTGGCTTCCTAGCCTTAAATAGGAACCAGGTAGTCCTTGAAAGTAAAGGTGACCACATCCCCCATTGAGGGCCATCTGGTCTATGAAAATACAAGTCTAGTCTCATATGTCCGATGCACCTCTGGTGTGTAGAGGAACCTTTACTTACTTTACTTATTTTATGCACACAGCTGGGGAGTAACAAGGGGTTCTGGTCGACATTCAGCACTCAAATGAGAGGCAAGATGGACACAAACAGACTTCTGCTTTTAACATCAGAATAGGAACTTTATGCTGGCTGCTGAAAATAGGGACGGAGTGAATTATGTGAATGTTCTGAGTGCTGTGATGTCGATTTTTTAATTTAACTCATCTCAGTATGCAAACATTGCTGATTGATCCTGTTAATAGATTGTTACTTTATCAGCATTCTTGCACACTTTGCTGAATAATCCTGTTAATAAATTGTTAATTTTGTGCACACTGTTGAATCCTCATAAAAAACCTTTTAACAGATTGTTACTTTATCAGCATTTCACGCACTCATTGTTGACATAACCTCTTCTTCTGAACCTCCAGATCTGTCTAAAGAAATGTACATGATTGGAGGCCTTCTCCTGCGACACATCCTACAGCTGGTCTGTAACGCACATGCCATAACCAGTCTGCAGGCCACATCATCTGAGCAAGTCAGCACACAGGATACGGAACAAGTGCGAATTGCCACAGCCATTTATCCAACAGCGAGTCTGATGAATCATTCCTGTGATCCAACTATCATTTCCAGGTATCTGTGTTAACCAACTATCTGCCATTTTTCTTTAATACCGCTTGTGTCTGAATCTCTTTAATCATTTCTTCTTCCTTCATAATTAGTTTGTGATGTCTGATCATGTCTGACACATACATATAAAGATAAAGTAAAAAAGGTAGAGGAATCTTTTCCGTGCCTTCAGGCTTATTGGGCATATAAGGCTAGACTTATTTTTATAGACCAATTGGCCCTTGGTAGGTAATGTGATAAACTAGTTGCCTTTACTTCCTATGACCTGGCACCTGTGTAAGGCTGAGTCGAAATGGGAGCTTAATACATTTTTGAAAAAAGTCTGGCTCTGCAGGGCCTGAAGCCAAACCCGTGACCTTGGGATCCGCAGGTGAGCGTCTGGCCCCTACACCACAGCAGCTCCCACATATAAAGATACCCAGGTCTAGAGAAAGCAGATGTCAAGAACAGATTTGTGTGTGCGCATGTGGGGGAGATGGAGGGGGGTGTGTGTGGAGTGATGCATCATGCCACCAGTGTCAAACATGAACCTTTACTGCAACTGATGGGTGAAAAAATCATAAAGGAGCTGAGATGTCACTAGAGTAACAAGAATAGATAACACTGAGAATAAAGAAATTATATGAATACTAAAATTAAAGTAAAGAAATTATATGAATAATAAAATTGAAATAAATTATATAAATACAAAAATTGAAGTAAAGAAATTATATGAATACTTAAATTGAAGTAAAGCAATGATGTGAATACTTAAATTGAAATAAAGAAATTATATGAATACTGACACTGAAATAAAGAATTTATATGAATACTGAAATTGGAAAAAACGACATTATATGAATGCTGAAATTGGAAAAAACGACATTATATGAATGCTGAAATTGAAAGCAGTCATTCAGTTCATCAAAGAGAAAGTGATGAGACCTGAAGAAATTACAGAAATATTTTATAGCCCAACAAAAGTCATTAAATGTGGCGATTTTACATTATGGGACTTTACATACACAGTAACGGAAGTCTGCGTGATGAAGTTGTCAAGCTGTTTGCGTCGCACTATGATGGTCATGGGTTCATTTCATGGATTCGTTGTTTGGTTCATGAGTGCAATTTGTGTGGAGACCAAGGGGTTTGTCATCAGAGTTATGAAGTTTGCACTTTGTGAGGCTCTCTGGGCAAGCGGCTAGATGTTCTGTATGTGATGGAACCCATTGCAGTGAAGTAGCTCTTCACACCTTTAACCTTTGTATACAGTATCAATACATTTAGAGTTGACAGAGTTTATCCTCTCAAAATACCTGGTAAAAAATATTATGGAATTCACTGTGTAGCTGAAAATAGTCAAAAAATAATGTACAGTAAAACTTTGAATAATCTTAACTGTCCACACCAAGGCTGTGGCGGAGAAACCAATAAATGGATGACAGAAATCTGTTAATACATATGTTCAGTAACATAATTTTCATTCTGGCTTGGGACGAAAATGAAAGAAAAGATCCTTTAAAAGTGAATAATACATGCATAACAATATAACTAGAATGGTTTTGCACTGGGACCCAAAGGGGTATAGAAATAAAGGAAGACACAAAAAGAAACATGGAGAAGGGAGCTAGAGAGTGATGTTAAAAAGATAGGGAGGACATGAAAAGAGCTGCATGTGATAGAGAAGGATAGAACGACTTGTCGTGACTCAGTTGAGGACCTATGCTCTGTTGTGGGGGGGGGGGGGGGGGCATTGAAAGGCAGAAGAAGAAGAATACATACCGTATTTAATTTTACAAAATGATCAATATAAACTTCAAAATAAGAGTAATAATTTACAGAAATGTCACAAACCACATCAGAGACCAGTATGTAACACACTGCCAATTACTGCCTTTTTTATACAACTTTTGCAGTGTAGGCAAGAGGGTCTTTGAGCCTGGGGATTTACGGCCTCATGGCTAGTGCTGTCGCCACGATTGGGCAGAGGAAGATTTTATTTTGCCCCCAACAGAAGAAATCCACAGCCTTACCGAGGATTTGAACCAGATCAAGCTTAACATCTCTCCGCCACCGACAGTTAGTCACTTCCACCATTGTACGTCACTTCGAGCTTCATACAGCACAGTTACTTCCACATTTATACAGTACTGTGTAAAACTATTCATGGATATTTTAAAGATGTCTGTTTGTTGATACTCATGCAATTTTTTAAAATGATGACGGATAACAGAAACTGACCATAAAAAGTGACAATTAATCAAAGTTTTAGTGTATTAACATTTGGAGATTGATACTGCACCACTAAACGGTAAGCTCAAGACATGTTTGCCACACCGCCATTAACATTTTTTTTAAAGTAGTAGTTTGACTCCAGTAAGTGTTTTTTTCTGTTTTTGCTTACTATTTCAGTTTCATTAATGATGTTCTTGTCGTTAAAGCCGTGAAAGATGTAGAAGTGGGAGAAGAAATATTTAACTGTTATGGTGAGTATATGTTCTCTACGTGTGTAGGTGTATGTTTGCAGGCATCGTTATAAAACAGAGTAAAGGACCCTTTTCCATGCCTTCAGGCGTATAGGGCATATAGGGTTAGACCTGAATTTATAGACCAATCAGCACTTGCTGGGCTGATATGTTTTTATACAGGATGTTGGAGAACAACCAAACAGGGCATTAGACATTTCTGAATTATTGCATTACTAGCTAATTTTCTTGCTGTTGTTGACATCCTGCAGAACTAAATATTTGTTGCTTTTAAGGATGGCAGTTTGTGATAAAACAAATTAATTTGATGACTTCTTGGGAACGGAAGAGTTACACATTCACTAAAAATTATCACCTTAGGTAAGTAGGTGCTTTGCTGGGAAAAGAAATTAAAAAATCGTCACATCCAGCCACTGTCCCCCAAGGGGTAGCTTTAGGTTATAATTGTGACAAGGCTTTGTGTGCCAAATAAAATGAATTTGCATTGCACGCCACCGAGAGCCCTGAAAAGGACTCCTGCAGTGTTGATGCAGTCAAAGGAGACAGTCCCAAATGCTGTCCTGACCAGCAACAAAGTCGTCTACTGTCAGCCCAGTGGGCAACCCGGTCGCTGATAAATTATGACCTTAAAATTATTTTTGTATTTCTAACACAGGTCCACATTACTGTCGTATGAGCCGAGAAGAGAGGCAAGAGGTTCTGAAGTCCCAGTATCACTTTGATTGCTTGTGTCAGCCATGCTCCCAGAGTGACCTTTCACATCTTAGATTTAGTGTAAGTGAACTACTTGTTATAGTGCATATTTGTTAGTAGTTAGATTTTAGTGTTGGCACCTTTCTGGCTTTCCAGGCGATGGTGTTACATTGTGCAATGTGAAAGCATACGAATCACAGCCTGTGGCGATGGCGAGTGCGACTAGCAGACCCGCCTGTGTTAAGAAAAGTCTACCGCACTTAGAGCATGGGATACCAGGACATGATATACATTTAATATGCTTCTTCTCAGCTGCTGAGCTCTCTGTCTGCAATCATTTTTTCATTTATTCACATTTTCTTTCCCTTTCTGATCCCACCTTGCAACATGCTAATTATATTAGACTAGAAACAGCCAAAAATCAGCAGCAGGACGATTAAAACATCTTTTTGAGAGCCAAATTTCTTGTCAAGAACCATGTTTTTCAGAGTCAAAACCGATTTGTGGCCGACTGGCCGAGCCACACTCAGGTCGCTAAAGAGCCGTCGCAAGCCATGATTTGCCATTCACTGGACTAGAGGAAACGTTTCATTGCAAAGGCTTGCCAAAACGCCGCAAGTAGCTTAGTCCATAACATTATTATGGAGTTATTAACTACAAAAATTATGTAAACATGTTCTTTTTCAGCATTCTGAGCCCTTGAGGTTCACTGCTGCAGATATCTTCTTCTTCTTTGTTTACTCTGTTGGAAAGTCCTTGTTTGTCTCTTTGGACTTTGGCTTTGTGCCAGGGCCAGAGTTTTGCAAGTACGTCCGTTCTACTGGCTTATTTGTGTGTAGTTGGTTGTTCCTTACCACTTGGACAGATACATTGTGATTTTGAAGGAAGCCCCCAATTAGTCAACTCCTACGACATGCTTGTTGGGAAGGCAGTGGAACTGTTCTTGTTTTCCCTACAATAGGGCTCTGGAACCCACTCAGGAACTGCAGATATCACCCACCTCTATTTGTCATCTTCTTCTTCTTCGCCTTCACCGGCTGTAAGCTCCGGCGGAAAGTTCTAGCTTTTCGTCCCTTCTGGACTTTTAGTCTTTTCCCAAAACCTGAGTGTTGCGTGTGCATCCGTTATACAGATATGACTCATTTGCATGCAGCTGTTGGTTTCTTGCCTCTCAGGCAGATGCACTGTGACTTTGAAGGAAGATCCCATTTAGTCGCTCTTAGGACATGCTTTTGGGTAGGCAGTAGATCTATTCCTGTTTTCACTACAGTAGGGCCCCAGAACCCACATGGTTATTTTGTCTCTGTGACTGGCCTTTCTCTTTTCAGTTGGTGACTCCAAATCTGTGCAGGTCTGTTTGGATATTATCTCTCCACAGTCTTCTTAGTCTGCGTCCGTTCTGCTCCCATATATACACACTGTTAAAGTCTCTGTCATCTGCCATTCTCTTCATCTGCCTCGGCCATTTAGTTTTTTTTTATCCTTTGTGATGCCAGTATTTTATTTTTGCCTCTCATGCTCCATTCCTCACTGTTTGCTTCTTTGATGGGTCCAAAGATCTGTTGTAAGACTGTTTTGAAATATGTGTAATGTATGGCTGCCTGAATATTCATAATTTTTTTTTTTTCAAATTGTTTTCTAACATTTTAATCTAATTTATAGTTTATACTGTACACTTTCTTTAGGCTTTCAAGTGTCCAGTTTGTGCTGGAGTGGTCAGTGGGCACTCTTGTCGAGAGTGTGGTCACTTGCTGAGTGAGAAGGTCTTGAACGGACTCAAGCTGAAAGCAGAGAAGGCCAACAGACAGTTTAATGAAGCTATCAGACTGATGAATTCACAGGATTATGATGGTAACATATTTATTTATGAGTTTTTTTCTTTTTCGGTCCTACTGTCAGAAAACATCTCATGAGGCCAGTAACCTTGAGAAAGGCTGCAGTGAAATTCTGTCAAAAGCTCCTTAGAATACAGTCGATAAAAAGGAGAAGTACTGACATTCTATAAGATCTGAACATCAAGGAAGATTGGCTGACAAGCAGCATCTTGTCTCCGAAGCTGAAATATTTTGGCCGTATCAAGTGCTGTGGCAGATTGAAAAAATAAAATAAAGGCATGGTACCAGGAAGGAGGGACAGAGGCCAATCAGCATGAAGATGGGCACCGGATATAAGTGACTCCTTGGATGTGAAAGTGCATGAGGGGGGGGGGGGGGGGGGCTGGCGAGAGACCGAGTTTCTTCCAGGCAGAAAATGATAGGGATGTTCTGCAATGGACCTTTTACATGATGATTAGGAAAGTAATGGCAATCTACTGGATGTAAAGTGTCCTATAAAAGGTATGTAACTAACTTATAGGGTATAATTAAAATAACTTCCGGGCGCCATATCTCAATTACTATTCAACTTGTCTCTATAAAAGTTACATATCTGGAAAGCCCGCGACCGGGACTATCTACTCAGACCCTCTTCTGCGACCCCGACCCACACTGGGACCCGGGGGTCGCCACCCCCCGAAAATACAGTTTTCCACCAACACCACGTCTACCGTGACTCCAAGCTCGGGGGTCGACATGACCTTTTTTGTCCGTCGCCCCGGGACCCACCCGACCCACCCATCAGACCCCGCCTCGGAATAAGCTATCTCAAAAAATGACGTCTGCAATTAAATGTATCTGGACATCCCGATTCACACATCTTCTCTGACCCGCACAGACCGCTGACGACCCTCACCCGGACCGGCTTGAAGCCCCTCGATCCCTGGGTGAAGCCCTCAAAAAAAAAAAAAAAAAATGTGAAGTGTCCTATAAAAGGTATGTAACTAACTTATAGGGTATACTTAATATATTATACTTCCTTGGACCAAGAAACGTAGAACCATCATCAGGGAAGGCTCAGCCATGGGCCTAACAACCATGCAAGACCTAAAAGAGGTGGCAACGAACCGCCAGACATGGAAAGCTATGACCTCTGCCCTATGTGCCACCCTAGGCCCAGGAGGAAAGACTAACTAACTTCCTTGGAAATCAGAGTGCACATGCCTGAGAGGTGAGGGACCAGCAGTCTGCATAAAAATAACCCAGATCTGTAAAACGGATGTGCACATAAAACAAGGACCAAAATCTAGAAGCAGACAAACAAGATCTTTCTGTCGTAGTTTACAGATGGTGAGCACCTAGAATAAGAAGATATATCTTTGTTATCAGATGTTCTAACATTGTTTAAATCCTACTGCATCATGGGCAGGTGCTATACATGTATTGGAGGACTGTCGTAGCCAAAGGCAAAGTTTTCTTTACAAAGACCACAAGGATCTAGGCCAAATAGAAGATGCCATAGCTCGTTGCTATGCAGATCAAGGTAACTTTATTTTCATGTTTACAAACTGATTTTATTTATTCGTTTATTTATTTGTTCCCTTTTTTAATAGACATCTAAAATTGTAACTCTTTCTGACATTATAAAATAAAACTGTTGGTCAGAAGCATTTAATCAATTATTATTTGAGATTGCAGTAATAATGAGAGCATGCATATGCAAAGTAAAAACTGGAACATGGTAAAAGTAGCAATAGTCTTGAGCTAAAGTAATAAAGAATACTGAAAATTTTATTGTTATATAAAAAAATTTCCTTCAAGTTACATGCACACCTCAGGTCCTGGGACAGAGCCAAAGTTTAAATGTATGAATGAGTTGAGTCAACAATTGATATCACATAACTCTGAGCATTCCCATGTGTGCTCTGTCCTCATATTCAGCAGCTAGCGCAGAGTTCCGATACTGATGGTACCAGTCACAATCTGATTACATGTTCGTCGTGCCTTTCCTCTAAGTGTGGTGAGCTGGCCAGACCCTCTGGTTACACCCAGGTGTCTCATTCTCTCCAGGCCATAATAATCTTCTTTCTCTACTGATTCTGTTGCTTGTTCCTAAAGAGCCTTGACCACATCTGCCTTGTCATGTCCATATCATATCATATTACCAAGCCATTCAAGTATTTATCTCTGTCTGTCGGCCAGTTATAAGCTGAGTCCACCACTTTTGGGTATTCTTCTTCTTCTTCTTCTTCAGTCCTTTCTCAACCAATACAGGCCAACTTGTCCTACCCTTTGCTACTGCATGCAGCTAACTCATGTCCACCACTGTCTTTTTGATTGAACTCTCTAGCTCCTTTCTCTTCTCTCCACGTGTATGTTTCAGTGTGAACTGGTTTGTGTGTGTTTAAGTGTGCCTCTTTGCTGTGTATGTGTGTCTGCATGTGTGTTTGTGCGATTGGATACATGTAGCTGTGAATATGTGTCTGTGTGTGTGTGTCTGTGTTTGTCTGCATGTGTGTGTGTGTCTCGGTGTTTTTCTGCATATTTGATGTGACTGTGTGTATATCTATGTTTGTGTCTGTGTTTGTCTTCATGTTTGCCTGTGTATGTTTATGTGTTTTGTCTGCGTGTGTGTCTATAAGGCTGTATGTATGTATCTCTGTGTATGGGTGTCTGTATGTCTGTCTACGTGAGTGTATGTGTCAGCATGTGTCTGTCTGTCTGTGCATGTCTATGTGTGTTTCTCTGTATGTGTTGTGTGTGCCCCTTTGTTGTCTGTATGTGTCTGCATGTCAGAGTATATGTCTGTGCGTGCTGAATACTTGTGTCTGTGTGTGTATTTCTATGTGTTTGTAAGTGTATGCTTTTCTGCCTGTTTGTCTCTGTGGGTGTCAGTATGTGTTTGTCTGCCTGTTTGTCTGTATTTGTGTGTGTGTGTGTGTTTGACTGCGTGTGTGTCTATGTGGCTGTATGTATGTGTCTGCATGTTTGTCTGCGTATGTGTGGTGTGTGTGTCAGTGTGTGAGCACGAATGTAAATATGTGTGCTGTGTGTTTCCCTGTGTGTGTTTATATGTAAGTGTCTGTGTGTGTGTCTGTATTTTTGTCTGAGTGTGTGTGTCTCTGTGGGAGTGTCTGTGTGTGCATGTGTGTGTCTCCATGCATGACTGTATTTATGACTGTATGTGTGTATGCCTGTATTACGTATGTATGTATGAATGTATGTATGTATGCCTGTATGTTTGTATCTATGTATGTATGTTTGTGTGTTTGCATGCACTTTACAACTCATGCTTTTGTGTTCTTTTATAATATTCATAATATGCATAACATCATATGATCATAACATGCTTTATTAGTATAATACAACTGCTGTGCGAAAGATGGTTGACTGGAAGGGCCGAATGTAAGACGGGCCTGTGTGCCCAATTTGTGACCCTTTGAAAATAAAGTTCGTTCGTTCTCTTGCCTAAACCCAGAATTGATTTATTTAAAACAAGTCTAGCATATTCTGCTGCTCATTTACGGAACCATCTTCCACCCGATCTGAAAACTACAAAAAGTCCTTACTCATTTAACCGCAAACTCTTTCATTTCATGATTATCAGTGATTACATGCCACCTTAAATGTAGTTAATAATCCACAATGCATTACTAGTTATAATTAATTGCAGTACGTATGATATGTTTGTATGTGTATATGTGTGACATGCTGGCGTGTGTATGCGTATGTGTGTATGTATGATTCTGTGTATGCATGGGTAACTGTATATGTTTGTGTGTATGTATCTGTGTGTAGGCGTGTGTCTGTGAGTGTGTCTGTCTGTCTGTATGATGTCTGGGTGCGTGTCTGTGTGTGTTTCTCTGCGTGTCAGTGTGGGTGTCAGTCTGTGTTGTGTGTCTGTGTGTGTGTGTTTTTATGTCTGTCTGTATGTGTGGCTGCGTGTGTGTCTGTGTGTGTGATTGTATGTGGATATGTGCGGGTGTGGCTTGGCTGCATGTTTGTCTGTGTGTGTGTGTCTGTCTGTTTGTGTGTATGTGTGTATGTATGTATGTATGTATGTATGTATGTATGTATGTATGTATGTATGTATGTATGTTTGTATGTATGTATGTATGTATGCATGCATGCATGTTTGTATGTATGTATGTATGTATGTATGTATGTGTGTGTGCATGTTCGTATGTATGTGGATGTATGTGTGTACTTAGTGCCTATATGTTTGTGTGTAAGTGAGTCATTGGGCTTGTGTGTGTATGTGGGTGTGCGCGTGAGCGTGCGCACATATTTTACCAGCCATGCTTTTGTTTTTGACATATATAATATGCATATTATTACATGAATATAACATGCTTCATTGATGAAGTACAGCTGCTGTGTGAAAGATGGAAGTTTGGAAGGGCCGAATGTAAGACAGGCCTGCGTGCCTAATTTGTAACCCTTGGAAAATAAAGTTTGTTCGTTCGTTCTCTCACTCTCTCTCTCTCTCTCTCTCTATTTCTCTCTGTGTTGATCTGCATTTTTTTCTATGCCCCTGTGGATTCCTGTGCAAAGACAGTCCAGTTTATATTGTTCTCAGGTTTTCTCAGTGTGTGTCCTATCCAAAGCCAGCATTTTTTCAGCACCTCTTGATTCCTTGGAATTTGTTTTGTTCTCTCCCAGAGAACAACATAAGTGATTTCTATGATACCATCTCACTCCCGCAGACACCAGTTAGTAAATGTTTGTAGTTTATTAATAATTTATTAATAATCATGTTAGTTGTTTGCATAGGGGGCTTAAAATGCCATATGGGTGAGACAGAAAGGCTAATGCAACTACATATAGTGTTTTCATGTGAACAGAAGCTGTTGACAAAAGTATATTATGTATCAAGCAAACAAACAAAATACCCCAAAACCTATTGCTTGGTTCTGAAAGAGTTAGCTTGTTTTTGAAAAAACAAGTTTTGAAAATACAATTTAATTATTTTTTTGGCAGGAGATTTTAGCAGTTCAGCTGACCACCTTTTCACCAGTGTAAAAATGATGTCACAGATGTATGGTGAGAGGAGCATTGAGCATGCTAATGAGCTGCAAAAACTTGCTGAGGTTCTCTTCAACGCAGAAAGGTTTACAGAATGCCTGGATGTAGCTAGTCAGTCTTTGAGTCTATTTGAATGTTTGTACAGCTCAGGTCATGAAGCAGTGAAGCAGCTGATGGATCTGAAAGATGCTGCAGTGCGGGCTTTAACTCCCTTGATGCAGGCTAATTAATTAACTCTTTCCATCTGAAGCGATTATCACTTTCAGATAACTGTCTAGGAGAGAAGAGGAGTTGAGTCAAGAACCAACAACACTGCACTCAGTACCTTTCCATAAGCACTCTGTCCTCATCTTCAGCGGCCAGTGAAAAGTTCCGGTTCTGTTGGGGCCAGTAACAGTTTGAATATATGCATGTCTTGTCTTTCCTCTAAGTACAGAGTGTCTGCCAGATCCCTTGGTCACTCCTCATGGCACCATCCTTTTCACACCATTAATGATCTCTTAGAGCTTCTGCATTGTTTACTTGCCCTAAAAGGGCTTGGACCATATCTAGCTAGTCTGGCATCAAGTCGCCATTCAGTTGTGCAGCACCAGCCGATCTGTCTGTCTATTAATTTCCCAACACACCTACACATAACCCTTGAAAAAATATATCCACTCCAATTATCAGTTTCTGATAATTGCCAGATTCACAGATCTGGTATTCTTTACCCAGCAGGGTTGTAATATCCAGCATACTTTCATCCAGTGATGATCTCCTCATCACCCTTTAACATGTGCAGATAAATATCTGTATGCCTTGTCAAATTGGATGGGGCACTGACCTGATCCACGATTTTCATCAGTTGAGATGATGATAATGACCACCTGTGCTTATCAGCAGGGCACATGATGATGATGTACAGATTAAAATTAGTGCATAAAGCACTACCACATCAGTGGTGCATAAAGCATATGGTGCTGGACCCATATTTGTATAGACCAGTCGGCGCTCAATAGGTCATATAAATATCACATCATCCCTTTGCAGGAGGGAAGGTAAAAAACAAGAAAAAAAGGGGAGGTGGGGTCAGTAAATTTACATCTCTGTTTATTTGATGTTTGTCTCTTCTCCACCCTATTAAAATGTGCAAATTATGCTTTTTTTTTTTTAATTCCAGTTTTTTTTAATATTTTGGAAGCAGTGTTCAGTCATTGACTTTAAATAAAACCTTGTTAAAATTCATTTGCCATTTGTAAATGGCAGTGGAAACCTGATTAGAAGTAACTGTTTTTTAAAGTAAGATATGAAGGTTTATGATATGTGAAGTCTGAAGGGCTTTGATATTTCATTACACAATAAAAGAGTATGCTTCCTAGTATTAACTGCAGAATTGTCCAGTATGAATGTAAAATTCTTCCTCTGGAGCCCACAGGGAAAGAGAAATAAAATGAGATAGGAATAAACATGGAGAAGAGGAAGACAGAGATTAAATAATATAGAGAGGACAGTGAGGGAACTGCAGAAAATAACAAATGGTCAGATGTTTGGAATTGGTTAAGTGATGTAATTCATTAATGTATAACAATCAGCTGCAGAAGCTTTAATGGGATGTTGGATTGTCTGTAACATTGTAGACTGCTTGCCTCTTTTAAAAAAAAAGTTTTTTTTTGTTTTTGTTTATGTGGTCGGCACCGTGACAGGTGTTTTTACTTCCAACGAGTACGCACTAGATAACTAACAATTATATCGGAACCTGTCCGTATAACGCTACTGTCCAGCGGAAAGAATGTGTATGCTTAATCAGCTAGAAATCTCAAATAAGCATCCTCAACCAGGCTGATCTTTTTCCAACTGAAACGAGGGGAGGTTGGAGCTTGGGATCACAGTGGCTGGCACACTTGATAATCATATCTCCATTCTGCTCAAATGTATTATATTTAAAGCAACATATTTCAGTCAGCTAGAGGAGCGAATGGCTAAGTACACTGGGCTCTCATGCAGGAGACCCAGGTTCGAATCCTTGGTAAGGTTGTGATATTTTATCCTGTCGATGGCAAAAATAAAATCCAAACCGCAGTCTGTAGCGACAGCACTAGTCACATGGGGCCCTAAATAGTCATATTCTAAGATCCCTCCCCACCCCACCACTCCGTCTTACATTGTCTTAAAAAATTAATAAATACAGCGAGTAATGGCAAAAGTGTATGGCCAAAAATTTTAAAATACTGGGCTCTCAATCGGCAGACCTGGGTTTAAATGCCCAGTATGTGATGGGATGTTTCTCTGTTGGGGGCAGCAATCCTAACCTGCCCAGTTTGCAGCAGTAACAGTACAAGCCATGTGGTCCTGAATCTGCAGGCCCAAGACCTCCCTGTCGTACATCATCTAAATATGTGGTAAATACACGCACAGGCGTGGGTTGTTATATTTTTTTAAATTAAAAGATGGCAATATATTTATGTTCATGGAATTGTTCCATTTCTGTTTATTGCATCTCTCACTCTATGAAACACTTCATGTTATTGTGGAACAACAGTCTCTGCGATTTTTACACTACTTGATTGTTTGCCACTTGACAGCTTTTCCAGAAACTTGTAATAGGCCCATTTGATGTCAAAGTCCATGTCGTACCAATAGTTCACTGAAATAACAGTGGGAAAAGAACACTGATACCAATTACAATCTCCATTTCACTAATTTTTGAACAACAAAGGTATATCTGTAATGATAATATCCCTAACATTACTATTATTATAATATCCCTTGGACATGGTGCAGAATGTCTCAGGCCACTTTGCAAGGACAGCTGTCTGCTGGATTGTAAATGGAAAATCAAGACGTGGATTACCTAAAGAAGGTCACACGTGAGTTAGAATTAGAACGAAGCACTTATGTGCCATGATGTTGATCCGTTATTTAAACCTAAAACTAAAGAAGGACAGTAGAAAGGGAAATAAAGAAGTGTAAACTGACATGCGATACTAGAGGCAGAAAAGTAACAGACTGGCAGCAGGTGAGACTACTTATGACTGCCTTTGTGTCAATGACATGAAAAGGAGATAAGACAGATATAACATCCCTAACATGCCCAAAGTTATTGTTTCATAACAAAGATGATTCTGTTCCTAAAAACATATTACTTCATAAGTACGCAGTAATAGACCTCAAAATACATGGTATTGTCTGTGGCTTAGGCATTGCCAATACGCTTTGTAATGCCGGGTTTGATCCCAGCAGCAGGCCTTGCTCTGGTCTCGACAGTGGTATCGAAAAGTCAACCATCCAGAAAGCAATGACAAAGCACTGGACGTAAATTTGCCTAGAAAACCACAAGAGCCAACAAATGCTGGGGTTGGTTCTGCAACGTCCTGTAAAGGATAGGCAACTAACCATACATGGTATTAGGAGATGATATGAGAAACTTCTCTAAGTCGTCCAGTTCAAAATGGCAGATCCCCAACTTATCGGCGACTCTCTGAAAAACTGTTTCTAGCCAAGGTTTCTCATCATCATTATCATCCTTTGTGTGCCTTTAGACATCACATAGGGCTTGCATTCTATCCTCCATGCTGCTCTATTCCATGAAATTTCTCGATGTCTAACATGGAGTTCATCCCTGTATTTTTTGCCTTTCGTAATAATGTTCTTCTTCATGTTTCTCTTAGGCATACTCTTTTTTCTCTCAGACTGTTTTTTTTTTTTCAATTCGGTGTCTGTTTTTTAATTCTTTGCTCATTTCATCTCAGAATATGCCCAGTATATCTCCACCTTCTTTGTCTTGTTGCAGTCGATGCAAGTATTTGTCCAGACATTTCTCTGATCTCCTTTCTATTTCTGAATTCATCCCATTTTATGTTCATGATTTTTCTCAGATATTTGTTTTCAAATGCATTTAACTTTCATTCTGTATTTTGTGTGGTTCCCCAACTTTTGCTGGCATATGTTAAAACTGAAGAATCGTAGTGTGGTCTTAAAGCTGTGTAACCTGGAGCTCCATATTTTGTTAAGGCTTTTAAAGATTTGTTGCTTGGCCAATGTGTATCATAATTTCCTTTGTTTTCCATCCTTGCAAGTCAAAACTGCTCCCTCAATATGTGAAATGGTATGTTATTTTTATTGGTTTGTTCTCTAGCATTACATCCATATGATCTGTTGTTGGTATCTTTAATATATTTATTTTCTCGTGACTTATTTGTAGTTCTATTTTTGATGCTGTTGACAACAAATCATCTGTTTTTCGATCAATGGCTACTCCAAAAAACAAGGAAGATATAATGCAGCCTTGATTCTCTCCAGTTTCCACCAAAAACCAGTCACTTAGACCATTTTCATTGTGCACTGCACATTCTGAACCATCACATAAACTTCTAATAATGTGTTTTATTTTAGCTGGTATGCCATTGCATTCTAAAATCTACCATAGTGAAATTCTATGTAAGCTGTCAAACGCCTTCTTGAAATCAATAAAATGCAGGATGAAAAGCTGTTGCTTCTCAATGTGTTCTTCTATAATAAGTTAGCCAAGGTTTGCTGATAAAAATTCCCAGTTTCTGGACCAGGAGCCAAAAGGTTCCATTTCCCAGCTACTAAGTTGAGAGCTTATACCTGACCTATGATTTCATATGAAATGTTGCTTCAATTATGCCTGTAATGGCACAGTAAAAGTAGCCATGACGGGACCTCAGAGGTCAGCATAGACCAGTGCCGGTTTCCAGAGTCTGATGTGACTGTTGTCCTCTGAAGGTACTGCTAGTCTCGACATAAAGAACTATTATTTGATTCATTTGTTTAAGAAGTAGATAAACAAAAGTACTAAATAAATTATTAATATTTTCATTCAAAAACTATTTTCAACAAGTACAAAGAAATAAGATAGCATGCTGTCACACAAATATGCGCACAAACAAAAAGATCAGATGGTTGAATTATTAAACAAGAATGTCAGCACAAACTGCCAGACAAAAAAGCTTTATTAATATGCAAAATCTGTAAAGCAAGCGGGCTTCTCTCAAACATTCCCCTGGTTGTCTTCTTCTTTTGTCCTACTTGTACTGTAAAGAGGTGTTAGATGTAGTTTCCTGTCTTTTGCTAGTTGTGTAGGCTGTCTTAATGTCATACTGTGTTTCTGTAGTGTCTCTCTTACTCCCTCCACCCATCTCTTTCTTGGTCTGCCTCTAGGCTAGTAACCTTCTTTTCTCTAGTATGCTCAAGCTGCTGGCTAGTTTTTGTTTCACTCATCAGATGACCAAACCATTTGATTCTCTGACGTTCTAAGAAATCATTTACTGATATACTGTGCTACTATTGTTCTTAGTTCTTCACTGCTGACTCTGTCTCTTCTTGTTTTCCTGGCACATTTCTGATACATCTTTTCTCATATTATGTAATTTTGCATTGTTCCCTTGGTGAAACTTTTGTTGTCATCATCATCATCATATTCCAGTAACATCCTGTGTCGTGGGGTCACCAGTTGACTGTCTGTTCAGCTCTCTTCACCTTTGGAAATCAGTTGCAATGGACTTCATTGTTGCGTGCCTGAGGCCTGTCCAGTCAGTCAGGTTCTGGAACCAGGTTTTTCTTGGTCTACCTTTTTTCCTTTACTGAGCCCTGCGGTATTGTTTTTGAAAGGCCGTCAGATCTTATTATATGTCCATACCATTGCATTTTTCGCTTTTTCACTGTAGTTAAAAGAGATTCATAGTTGCCAATGTGCTGTATAATTTTATGGAACCTCTTTGTTTGTAATGTGGTCTCTGTATGATATGCCACGAGCTTTTCTGAAACATCACCTTTCTAATGCTTGTATCTTTCTTTCAAGTTCAGCTGTAAAGGTCCATGTTTCACAGCCGTCATCACTGTTATGATAAAAAGTATTTATAAAAGAAGTCTGCACCGACCTGCAATACAAGCCTGGGATTGCTGGACATGGTGAAACCACAGTGAAGGAAGATACAAGGTCTCTCCAGCCCTGACAGTGACAGTCAGTGGTCTTGCTGAAGCATACTGGGGATACTTGTCCAAGTCAGGTTTCAGTGGATCTACTGCAATCCAGGAGACCTAAAGAATAAGGCAGTACAGAAGTTCACTGATCTGATTTTTTCACAGCTTTATAGCTTCTTACAGGTTTATGTAACATACTTCCCCTTTAAGTCATCACGTGTTAATTACAGAAGGGAGCTTTAGATGGAAACCTTGAAAGTGTTAAAGGAATTCAAATAACCATGCCACTATCATGTAACTTGTCAATATTATTGTTAAGGATGTCAAAAGTGTCAAAAAACATGACATCACAATGTAGGTAACACTGTAACATCATAATGACAGTTTACAGATGGCCACCCTACTTTTGACATGCACCAAAGAGGAGCAGAACCTTGTGTAACATAAACACTTTTCCTGTTTGTTTTTCTACTTCAGTTCTAGATGATCAACATCTTGTGTACCAGCAGATACCTAGGTTTCTCCAAAGATCTCTGTTACTGATATTCTGGATCAATTGATGGCGTTTCCCCCATGGTGCCATCTCAGACCATTCAGCATAACTTCATTTGCTTCTGGTATCACAGTGTTTCTGCCAGCATAAACTGTGTAGTTATGCACCGATCCCTATACCTTCTTGAGATGCAGAAGTATGTAAACACATCATTTGTTGTAGTAATTATCTGTAAAAACATTGCCAGCCAAGCTGGCATACAAAATTGGAATGGGGTAACATTCAACCAGGGATCGGCAAACTATGGCTAATATGGCAGGCCAAAAGTGACCCGTGAGGCTAATATAAAGTTACTATATAATCTTTGGCTCATTAAATAAAAAGTAAAATAAACCCCCAAAAAACCTTTGTTTGTATGCAGAAAAAATGCAATCAATAAAACATCATCATCCAAAGACAAAACAAAACAAAATGACAACCTATACTGTGATAACCATAAACGTAATTATATCGAAGGGCTTCAGCAGGTGAGTGTCGGGCCAAAGGCGTAGCGGGAGATTATAATCTTAGAATACCCCACACCGGGAAGGCTAACCCGGTCAACAAATGCCCGCAGAAGTGGAATGTGTTGGCCGAAAGGTGCAAATATCGCAGCCATGCTGTAAACGGACACAACACAATTACATCTTTGGATGAACACAGAAGAAGAAGAAGAATACCCCACTAAAATATCATATTTTGAAGAAATCTGGACGTTATGTTTATTCCGGATTTTTCCATATGGCCCGCGACCAGGCTGGCAATCCTAAATTTGGCTCATGGACCGTGTTGTGTGCTAGCCGAGCTACCACTAGCCAGCACACTACCAAGTGTCTAGCAAGTACAACTTTCGCTTCCTCTCTTAGAAACAGAACTCGACGACAATGACTCTGTCATACATTTTATTCAACAGGATACATGACACAACTGTGTCCTTTCACACAATATCACACTCTACCAAATCAGCACGCAACAGACCTGGAAAAAAGCCCCCCCCCCCCCCACCCCCCCCCCCCCCCCCCCCCCACCCCCCCCCCCCCCCCCCCCCCCCCCCCCCCGCTTTAAATTCTCATTCCTTGATGCTCATCGAGCTGCTTCTGCAGAATAAGTAAAAGTGAAGAACCCTTTTCCACACCTTTAGGTATAAAGGGCATATAGGGCTAGACCTATATTTTTATAAACCAGTCGGCACAAGATAGGTGATGTGGTCAGCATCACGCCTGCCGCCTCTACTTCCTGGGACTGCACCCCGTAGCCACTCAAGGTTGGGTCGACCTGGAAGCCAAGGTCATTTCTTCTGCAGAATACTTTGTTCTAAACTTATTGGTGTCACCTTTCCTTTTGAGTAAACAAAGCAGGCGGAGAGAGAAATCAGGTGATACATGGGCAACATATGGTCTCTATAAAACTTCCCTGGCTTTGTGCCATAAAATAATATGAATAGTTTCAACTACACAGCACAACATAACACCATTATCTAAAGAGATAGAACGGTGCCAATCATATAGGTAAATAACACTTAAACTTTTCTGGGGGGCTAAGAAATACCTTGTCCTCACTTTCTGTTGGTGTTATTACAAATTCACCATCAATATTCTGCTTGTATACCGCACATGTACAGGATTCTGGAATAATGAATATGTTCAATAACTATACGTACACAGATTACATTAAATGTGTGTGTTTTATGTACAAAATTGTATAACCCATCTGAAAAGAAAATATACTAATATACTTTCCACTTACGACCTATTGGTCCGAATAAAATTTGATCATTAAGTCGAGGGGACGCAGTATATCCATTCACTTAAGTATTGAGCTCTAGCACTAAATTTTCGTTAAGAGTTGCCAAGGAGAAAAGTTTCTTTTTCGTAAACAGTGCCAAGAATAAAGTTTTTTTTAAACAGTGTCAATTTTGATTTGTGCAAATTTAGCTGGTTAACAAAATTATTAATTTATTCTTCTTTGTTCATCAGCCATAAACTCTGGCAGAAAATTCTGGTTGTTTGTCAACTGGCACTTTGTGCCAGGGCCTGAGTTTTGCTTGTATATCAGTTTTACTGCCTTATTTGTGTGCAGTTGGTTGTTCCTTGCCACTCGGGAAGATGCACACTGGCTTCGAAGGAAGTCCCCAGTTAGTCGACTCCTACAACATGCTTGTTGGGGAGGCAGTGAGCCTCTTCTTCTTACCCCCACAGTGGTGGCCCCTGAACTCAAAGGGGGAAATTATTTATATAACCTTAGGCATTATCTTCTGTATTTCCAAAGAAAACCTAAAATGGCATTATCAACATATGCAGTCAGTTTTTATAAAGTCAGGTTCAAGCTTTGCAGAAGTGAAACAGAACAATGTTTGATTTTCAATTTTTGTGTACCGCTGCTAGTCTGCCAACTCACTCTGGGGTTATTTGGCCCATAAGAGAAGAAAATAATATCATGGCCTGTGCTCCTTATGAAGATGAAAAATTACTGTAAAAAAATCTTCTGCCTTCGCCCTTAAAAAGGCAGTCAGTACATTGTGTTGTGGTTTACAGCTAGGCTGTGATATCTGCATTTTTCAGCCCAACACATCCTTCACGTTTACCAGCTGTAAACTCTGGTGGAAGGTTCTGGTTGTTCGTCCACTTCTGGGCTGCAGTCCTGTTCCAGAACTTGAGTGTTGCGTGTGCATCCATTTGACAGATCTGACTAATTTGTATGGAGACTGTTGGTTCCTTGCCTCTCAGGCAGATGCACTCTGACTTTGAAGGAAGCTCCTAATTAGTCCACTCGTACAACATGCCTTTGGGCTAGGCAGTTGGTCTATTCTTGTTTCCCCTATAATAGGGCCCCAGAACCCACCCGGGGACAACACATCTAATTCAGTAAACTCCTAGTCGGCTTTTATAGTATGCCAGTTAGGTCTGCAAGATGTGGACTGTGCCTGGCTCTGCATCCAGCAGGGTTGGGGTCGGCTAGCTTCTCTTAGGAGAGGTGAAAAGTGAAAATTAGTAGCCTGCCGATGACCCACAGTACACATAAGTCAACCTCTCCTCCCAGTGGTGCAGACCGGGAAACTGTGGCCGTGAGGCCACAGGCGAACGAGGCTCTGGCTCGCCAGATGGGATGGGGTCCATCTGGTCAGATTTTCCCTTAAACTGCGACTGGCCTAGCAAGCCGGCAGTGGATTTTTTATTGCTACGAAAATTAGAAAGGAGATAAATAAACGGACAGCCCCAAACGGAAAATGGACTGGAAACGTTAAAGGACGACGAGACAGAAAAACGACTTACATAGGCACATGGAACATATGTGGTATTGCCAACAAAGAGCCACAAATAGTGGATTTCATGAAAAGAAAAAATATACACGTCATGGGTCTTGCGGATACAAGAAAGAAAGGATATAATACAAAAGAAATACATGAAAATTATGTTTTATTATGGAGCGGAGTACCCACTAAAGATAGGGCAAAACATGGTGTCGGATTTATACTTCATCCCGAGACAGCAAAATTAATAACAGGAACAGAATTTATATCAGAAAGAATTATTTTAATCAAGTTGACAGAAGGAAGTAAAACTACAACGATCATTCAGATATATGCACCTTGCACATACCAACTATCACCTCTGCTTAAACATCCAGATATAACCATGAAGACCAAAAGACAATTGATAAACACCATCTTCATTCCAACACTCTGCTACCAGTGCCAGACATGGACAATCAACAAGACCCATGAAAGAAAAATAGAAGTCTGTGAAATGAAATGTCTAAGAAAAGCAGCGAATAAGACCAGACTAGACAGGATAAAGAATATAGACATTAGAAACACTGTCAAAACTACACCATGTTTAGACTACATAGAACATCAAAGAATGAAATGGTTTGGACATCTAACCAGGATGAAAAATGATCAAATAACATCACAAATTTTCAACCAAAGAAGCTCAGGATATAAGGCAAGAGGAAGACCAAGGAAACTGTGGATTGACGGGGTCTCCGAAACCTGCCAAAAGCATGGCCTCAGAACATCAGATGCTGCCCGCCTTGCTTATGACAGGAACTTGCATCTCCCCACAACGCTTAGCGGCATACGTGGAAGGAAAAAGTAAAGTAAAGTAAGTAAGTTAGGGGGCAGTGGGTCTATAATCCCCCATCAAAATGGGGCTCGCAGAATCCATTCGGGAAGTATAAAGTCTGTTTCAAGCCTCAAAGAACTACATAAAGATCTATCATTTCTGTTTTTATTTACCGCTGCTTGTCTGCGGAGGAGATCTTGATTATTCATCCACTGTTAGCAGACCAGGGTTTTTCACAAAAAGAAAATTTATAACATTATAAAATTGGAGTTGATTCAGCCTAAAACTTGCACCACAAAATATCCTGGGAGACAACGGAAGTTTCTGTGATTTTACCCACCATACTAACTGAGTGCTGTTTTGTCTATAAAAATATGGATCTAACATCAAATGTTTGATGAACCAGTAACATTAAAATCTCCCTTACTGGTCTACTTTTCTCAATAAATATTATGGAAATAAAGTGTAACCTGAATAACATTTATGTAATGAAAATTAAGAAAAGTGATAGTATAAATATGTTAAAACACATCACATACAACTGACATTCCAGTTATAACAGCTTATCTCAAAAACATGATTGGTATAAAATTTATAGTTAGTTGTGTTTTCATGATGTTGCAGAACCAACTCCAGCATGTTTCAACTGTTGTGGTTTTTGTTGAGCAAATTGACTTTCAGCAGTTTGGCACTGTACCGAACTATTGGCTCTTGATACCATTGTCGAAACCAACGCAAGATGGTCTGCTGCCAGATGGCCTGCAGCTTGGATCGAACCTGGCACCCCCGGCATTATGAAGCATGTGAACACCTAAGTCACAGGCACTGATAAAAAAGCACACAATATGAACTTTACACAGCAAGATTTTAACAATGGAAAGTAAATCAAAGAAAAATTTGGATATATAATGATCTCTGTGCACTGAAAGTAACAGAAAATTCATTAGAACAAATGAGCTAAGTGCTGCTGTTGTCTTTTTCTGTCTTATCCTAATGGCTGATAAAAGTAAAGTCGGGTGATGTGAACCAGCATCACTGCATACGGTTATAAACCATAAGTGCTCTGCTACCAGTACAGACAGCTGAATTTGAAAGTGAGCCCCCTATCGACTGCGCTAACGCACCTCCCCCCCCCCCCCCCCCCCCCCATGTGGCTCATAAGTGATCAACTATCTCAGTCCAAGGCCTTGTATCCTTTGATATGTCTACCAGTTCCTTTGCTTTCTTTCCTGCATTAATTATCTCTATAATTCTCTTCTCTATGTGTCTTTCTTTGGTAGTCGCTGTGGTGTAGCGGCTAGAAGCTCGCCTGCAGATCAAAAGGTTGTGGGTTCGGGTCCTGGCAGAACCAGGCTTTCTTCAGAAATGACCTTGGCTCCCAGGTCAACCCAGCGATGAGTGGGTACTAGATGCAGTACTAAAAAGTAAAGGTAGCTGGCGTGATGTTGACCACATAACCCACCAAGTGCCGATTAATCTATAAAATTTAGGTTAGACCTTTATGCCCTATATGCCTGATGGTGTGGAAAATGGTCCCTTTTTTAATGTGCATTTTTGTTTTGTTTCCCTACATTTCTTACTTTGCAGATTTCAGAAGAACTATCTTATAATAATACTTCTTCTTCTTCTTCTTCTTCTCCTTCTTCTTCTCCTTCTTCTTCTTCTCCTCCTCCTCCTCCTCCTCCTGCTGCTGCTGCTGCTGCTGCTTCTTCTTCTTCTTCTTCTTCTTCTTCTTCTTCTTCTTCTTCTTCCTCTTCTTCTTCTTCTTCTTCTTCTTCTTCTTCTTCTTCTTCTTCTTCTTCTTCTTCTTCTTCTTCTTCTTCTCTTCTTCTTCTTCTTCTTCTTCTTCTTCTTCTTCTTCTTCTTCTTAATGTTCTCTGGCCATTTCTGGACTTTGGTCTTGTTCCAGAACGTGAGTTTTGCCTGCACATCCATTTTACAGATCTGGCATATTTGTGTCTGCCGCATAAGCAGATGCACTAAAGACTTCGAAGGAAACTCCCTTAATTAGTCCCCTTGTATGACATGCCTGTTAGGGAAGCAGTGGGTCTATTCCTTCCCCCCCCCCCCCCCCCAAATAGGGTTCCAGAACCCAAAACAGGGATTTCAATGTTATTATGTGGTTTTCTTAATGTCTATTATTCTATGAAAGTATCTTGTCTTCATCTGCTGATTCACTGGAGAAGGTCTAAAGTTCAGACACTCAGTGTGATCATGACTGTTTACACTTGTGTTCATAAAACTATTATATATTCCTACTGCCAGATTTTTCCTCATAATTTATATTCAAATCTCACTAATTCATTTATATCATTGTTCATTTTTCTTTGGTACTTCCCTTCATTTTACAGTCACAGCTCACATTCTTTTTAAATTCCATTTGTTTTTAAAGCTGTCTTTCATTCACTTTTTTACGTATAAATTAACATTTCTTTTCTGTAAATTTTTTTCCACTGGTTATTTTAAATATGATTGTTGAAAAATGCATGAAACTAAAGAATAACAAATGCATATGACAGACTTTATAAGCAAAATGTAATATGTATCAATTTTATCATTCTTTTATTATTTGAAAAGAAAAAAAATACATGTTTACTGCCTGTATTTACAACTTGTTTGGGGGGGGGGGGGGTGGGGGGGGGGGTTGTCCTTGTGCCTAAGGAAATACCACAAGGCTGGTGCAGTCACCACAAACTATGCAGGTGATAATTTTTATTTTGCCCTGATAGGAAAATAAAAAATCTCAATCTCATAGCAAGAATCAAATCTGGGTCTCCTGCATGAGAGACCTGTGCTCTAATCATTCAGCCAGCCGCTCCTCTACTTATACTATCAATCCATCATAATCATCTTTGTGGTAAAAGTTTAGATTAGGTTTGAAATACTCTCCATCTCTGCCCTGAAGTAGTAGAGTGGTTTGTGTGTTCCAATGATGCCAGATGCTATGCTGATGGCAGTGTAGCTACTGGTAGGGTTTCCTACTTCAAACAGGCCACGGTACTGCTGGAACTAAGCACGGAGACACCAACCTGCGGCCTTGAAGATAAAACGATGATAAAGGTTAAGGCTAAGGAAATCCCCATGTGGATTCCAGGACCCCATTGTGGGGAAAACAAGAACAGACCCACTGCCTCCCCAACAAGCATGTTGTAAGAAGCAACTAACTGGGGGCTACCTTCAAAGCAGGTGTGCATCTGCCTGAGAGACAGGGAACCAACAATCTGTGTTCACATATCCCAGATCTGTCAAGCAGATGTGCTTACAACACCAAATTTCTGTAACATGACTACTAAAGTTCAGAGGTGGACGAACAATAAGAACTTTCTGCTGGAGTTTTCAGCAGGTGAACATGAAGAAGAAAGGCTAAGGAAATTAAACATGAAAAATACCAAATAAAACAATGTACTGAGCCATATGATTTATAAAACTACAATACAATTTGCCTTATGCTGAAATGCTGTTTTTTTGTGTCTTTTTAGTATCCAGAAGCCATGAGTTGTTAACCTTTAGGCTCGATATTATGGAAATCGCAACCCTTTGGCCTTGATTCCATGATGAATACTGTAAATCTGGGAGAAATGTGGCTTTTCTGCCTACCCCCGGGCATAAACCCGGACCACAAGGAGTTTGTCACCCAGTCACCGCGCAATCCGATTTAGCCAACTACGCTAGTGAGCCTGGCAAAATGCTGTTCATAATATGAACTGATTACATTACATTTGATAAAAACAATAAGAAATATTCAAACTGCATAGTTCCTAACTGAGAAAGTATATTGTCATTCACAAACTCAAAACAAACAAATTACATACTTGATGTCACAGCTTTTTGATCTCCCATCCAGAAATTTACCGCATCAGGCTTGGCACCTAGCAACAGAAAGAACACCATATTCATTCTGAAAGAACATAATACTCATTCAGCAAAAACTTTAACAGCCAGTAAATCCCACAATCAGATCCCCAAACAACCATCAACAGCAATATTTAACTGGTATTTAAATTGTGTAATGAATATTTTCATGCTCAAGAAGCTAGAATTTTTTTTTAAACATTACCACTGTTGAAGATTTTCTTAAATCTAGCGTGTACCTATTTATGTACACGACTTTAGTTATCATACTTTATGATAGATGAAAAGCAACAATAAACAAACAAAAATGAAAAAACTGAACCAAAATATTCTTCTTCTTCACATTCACTGACTGTAACTCCAAAGGAGAGTTCTGGTTGTCTGTCCACCCATGGGCTTTGATCTTGTTCCAAAACCTGAGTCTTGTGGGTACATCCATTTTACATCTGTATGTAAACTGTTGGTTACTTGCCTCTCAGGCAGATGCACTCTGACTTTGAAGGAAACACATAAGAAGTCGACTCACACAACATGCTTGTTGGGGAGACAGTGGGTCTATTCTTATTTTCCCCATAATAGGGCCTTTGAACCCCTACGGGGAAAACCAAAATATGAACTAGAAGGTATTCTTGAAGCAAAAGTTACATTTACAAATACATTCTTCTTCATGTTCACCGGCTGTAAACTCCGACAGTAAGTTCTGGATGTTCATCCACTTCTGGACTTTAGTTTTGTTCCAGAACCTGAGTTTTGTGTGCACATCCATTTTCCAAATCTGGCTTATTTATGTGCCGACTGTTGGTTTATCACCTCACAGGCAGATGCACTCAAACCTCAAAGAAAACATTCCTAATTAGTCAACTCTTATGACATGCTTGTTAGAGGGAACATTCCTAATTAGTAAACTCTTATGACATGCTTGTTAGAGGGAACATTCCTAATTAGTCAACTCTTATGACATGCTTGTTAGAGGGCAGTGGGTCTTTTCTTTTTTCCCACAATGGGGTCCTGGGAACCCACATAAGTAATGTTTAACTAATTCTTAGATCAGTGATTTCCAAACTGTGTGCTGCGGCGCCCCGGGAGCCGTGACCTCTTCACAGGGGCGCCGTGACTATTCAAAGGTACACAAGTTTTATTTTTTTTATCTCTTACATGCGGATAGTCATACCTTTACTTGGGTTAGGGCGTCGTGGAAAAATTGTAACTGAAAAAAGGGGCCGCGACTAGGAAAAGTTTAGGAAACACTGCCTTAGATACTGAGATTTCTACACTCATCATTGACTAACCAAATGCCTCAGTGCCCCATGAAACATCAGAATCCACATCTTCCATCAGGCTAGAAAATTCACTATATAAGTTTGAATTTTGCTTCTGGATGTAGAAGACACCTTGTGTATTTCGTTGTTCTGGGGGTGTGTAGATTACATCCAAAAATTCAGACATCAGCATGCTCCGTTCCTCAGGCATGACAAAATGATCTTCACAAATAGCATCTGCATAGCCACTGGGTGTTACTGCCACTGTGACAAGTTGATCACCAACTTTCTCTCTGAGTGAACACAGAAAAGGTAAAAGGAAAGAATTATAATTCACACACAGCAATAACACAAAACCACATCAAGAACAACCTTAACTTCTTCAGTCCCACAAGGCTCTAGCTTACGTCCTAAGGAGTTATGAATGGCAATACCAAACTCATGGGTATACTACTCCCAGAGGGGCCAAATATACAATTTTTGCAGGAAACAAATATGTTGTCAGAGTACCTCACTAAACATAAGATGTAAAAACAGAAATAACATGTTCACTGATACACTTGAATAATATGCAGTCATGCACAGTGCATTGTTTAGGAGAGAAAGAGTTAGGGAAACCAAGATCTACAATGCGTAAGAAAGAGCACATAAATTATCCTAACATCTTCCTCCCCCCCCCCCCCCCCCCCCCCCCCGAACAACAGGCTGCGAAGGCAACAGGAGGATAAGAAGAAAAGCAGATACTGCTGTTAAAGTGTGAAGTGTTTGGTCTTCACATTCAAGGGATAATAAGGTGAAGTGATTAGTTCCCTTCCTCACAACTTTTTATTCCAAGGCAATTCCTAGCAGTGTTCTGAAAATTGGTACATTTTATGAGTTGAAGTAAGAACTGATATCACAGAAATCTGGTAATTCCCCTAAGGGCTCCGTCCTAATCTTCAGCAGCCAGATTCCCATGCCAGTGGTACCAGTAGCAGTCTATTTATATCCGTCTTGACTTTCTTCAGAGTGTAGAGTGTCTGCCTGATCTCCTGTTGGTCTCTGCTGCACCATTCTCTCCACACCATAAGAATCCATTTGCACCTCTGTACTGTTCCCTTGCTCCCAAAGGGCCTTGACCACATCTGTCTTGTCATGCATCAGTTCATAAGCTAGTAGTGCGGCACCAGGCAATATGTCTGTCTGTTAATTTCCCATCACACCTGCATTCTCTATACACAAAAAATCCAAAGGAGGCCGACCACCAGAGACTTCCAAAGCGATGCTTGCCATTATGCACAGATCATGATTTATGAGTCAGTTATAATCAAGAGATGCGCGTGGAGCCCGCTCTCAAGCCAGCAGAAAGCTGCTGTGACTGCCTCGCTCTCCATTCTCCAATTAGATGTTGTGGTATCAAACTCAGGGCTGAGCTGCACTAAGTGACAGGCATTTGTTTTATGATAAACTCCTTTGCATTTTTATGACTCTCAACACAGATTCATCTAAACAGAATATCACATAAACTGGGCATGAACTGTCTTGAATCAGTTCTTGAATTTCTGATTTTTGCAGTGCCTGCTGGCTAGTAACTTCCTGCAATCCTGCTTATGTGATCTGAACCCTACAGCAGTATGTTTGTTCCTCCAAAAACTTGACCCAATTCTCTCCCCGCCCAATGTTTTTTTTTTTTTAAGCCTACACAATTTATGAAAAGTGGCTTTAAGGTTGGTGAATGAGTTTTAAAGTCTCATGATCCTCAATTCTTCTTCTTCTTCTCGTTCACCGACTGTAAACTCTGGCGGAAAGTTCTGGTTGTTTGTCCACTTCTGGACTGCAGTCCTGTTCCAGAACCTGAGTGTTGCGTGTGCATCCGTTTGACAGATCTGTATGCAGACTGTTGGTTCCTTGCCTCTCAGGCAGATGCACTCCGACTTAGAAGGAAACTCCCAATTAGTCGACTCTTACGACATGCTTTTGGGTAGGCAGTGGGTCTATTCTTGTTTTTCCCATAGTAGGGCCCCGGAACCCACACTGGGAGATCCTCAATTAATAGGGTTCGATTTTCAAGCAGATGTTTTTTTTAAAACTGTTCCCATAGCTTCCACATAGCGGTAAGTGAGTCACACTGTGAAAGATACTAAGGCCTCAGCATAGTGGGTACACTGTAGTCAGCTTTCATCGTGGAGAGGGCACACCTTTTTAGATGAAGTCAATCATTACAACAAAGGTTATGACTAGCAGGCTGAGATTTATAAGAATGGAGTCCATGAATGTTTACAAAAATCTGTATGAACATTGGCAAAACAATGTGTAGTTGCCAGAAGAAACAATATAAGTTCCTGTTCTGATTTTATGTAGTATAAATTATTCTACTGATATCTAAACAAAAACAAATTTCAGGAATCTACTTCTTGTCCTCTTTTACACTAAAACGTAAAAGCACCAAATGACTAGATTTGTCTCTATAGAACTTTAGTTTAAATATACACACACAAAATCCTAACTCTAAATTATCTGAGTTCAAACTGCTACTACTTTTAGTAAATCTTCCACCTGAGATATTTGTCTCCCCATTTCCATAATGCAGGGTAATGGCTGATGGCATTTTGAATCACAACAGGGCGATTCTGCGAGACAAACTTTCTGTAAAAAGTCAGAGGATCTGGCGTGGAACTGAGTGTCTCAATGCAAGGATACAAATCTGGGGAGAAAACAGCAGTCTGCATATAAATAAGCCAGCTCTGTAAAATGGATGTGCATGCAAAACTAAAGTTCTGGAACAAGAAAAAATAAAAGGAATGTCAACAAGTAAGTCACAAATGGTTGTTTAAAAGAAAAAAAAAACTAAAGATGATAATAACTTGAAAACCATTCATTTTACACAAACACTGTCACTTTATTTTTCAACACACTTTCCACCAACATTGATGTACTTGTCCCACTGTTTTATCAGTCCTCCCAAACCTGCTGCACAGAACTGCCTGTGTTTTGTAAACCATATTTTCACTTTACATTCAACTTCTGCATAATTTGTGAAATGTCTCCTACCAAGATGGCTTTTCAGGGGATCAAAAAGGGCCTACATCAGGGCTGTAAGGTGAATGTTCCAGAAGTTCCCACCCTAAATGGTTAATTTTCTCCTGAGTTAACCGAGCCATGTGTGGTCTGGCATTGTCATGAAGGAGCAGTACTCCTCTAGTCAGCAGGCCTGGATGTTTTCTTCGAATTGCATCATAAAGCATTGATAATCAGCATTCACAATGTCACTTTTGTGTGTGTGTGTGAGAGAAATTGGTTAAAAGCACTGCTTGACAATCCCAGAACACTGTCAGCATAATCTTTTTTCTAACACAAGGTAAAGAAGGATGTTTCCATTTCATTTTTTTACCCAGCTTTACAGGATAAACGTTTGTCAGCACAAACAGGAAGTATTCCATTTCAATGTCCTTTACAGGAACTTTTTGTTTGCTGCTAAAGACTTGGATGAAGAGCTTAAGTGGGTGTTTGAGTGCTATTGTGTTGAATTTTAACTCTATAAGACCCCGAGCAATGCTGTGAGTGTTGATTGAGAAGTTTCGATTTACCCAAACAACACTGTCAGCATCAATCGTGTGTCCCGTACATAGTGATTCGCAAACAGCTCCGTGTTTGTTTCAAATGTTCAGAACTACTATTAAAGTATTCAGGGCAGGTTACTCTAACATTTTTCTTGGTATAAATGTCTTCGTTCGCACACATGTGGGCGCAAATTGACTTGATTCATTGTTAGCGTAATTTTTCAGACTGCATTTGTGTCTGTTCAACTGGTCATGTTCCGAATACAAGCTCAGGCCGAAAAATGAGCCTTTCTGTGGCTGAAGCTCTAAAAAAATTTATATCAGACGTTTTCTAATTGTGATAATCACAAATTTTTTTTTTTTTAAAGTGATTCAGACAGTGAATTTACACCAACGGCAGCTGAGCTGTCAGCTGTTTGTTCTGATGAGGTAAATCCAGGAGGACCCATTTCATTTGCGATGAAAGTCACCCACATCTGCATCCAAAGCACTGTTTTAGACAGTATTATACTGATATTATGGCCAGGCTTCCTTGAATTTATTGCAGTTGCAATCTGTACACAACTAAAAAGTCAATATTTTTTTTTTTTTTTTGTGTTTAGGACTATAGGTCAAATCTTCTGCAATTTTTTTCTTTGAAATTTTGTTCAGCATCTTTCAGAACATAGAGAATCAGAGTGATAAACTAACCCAGAAACATCTCACAACTTTTGAATTTGTTAGGAAATCGAACAAACTTTAAAAGTTTATTTCTAAAATGTGGATATTCGCTGCTCTTGTGGCTGAAAAACCATGGTAAATGAAGATTTTTGGGGTAAAATTTTGTCTTTGTAAACATAACACATGCTGAATTCTTTTCTCCTACTAACTATAACATTATTAAACAAAAATATATCATCAGATTCAAAATGTACATTCATTCCTCTGTAAAGGGAAATTGATGTGAGCCAAGTCTGTCAAAATTCACGGGCCTGAAAGAGTTAATTAAAAAAGTTTTTAAACAGTAAAAAGCCCTGCTTGTTGGTAATATGGTCATAATAATAAACACAGAAGAAGAAGAACATATGCTGAATACCATGCCAGCTCTTTTTACGTCACATAATCTTTCCTGTACCCATTTCAGGCAATATTAACTTGAATCCCAAGTTTTAAAAAAATGTCAAATCCACATTTTTAAAAAAAATTGTATTTGTAGTACACCAGAAAATGTCTTACCTCTCATCTCAGATGACAGCAATTGAAATGCTGATTCAATATTTTCTTCCATGCTATTGGGGATTTTTAAAAAAATACTGTCTTCTTCTTCATCGGCAATCAATGTTTGCTACGCATCTATCTGGTAATCTGGTAATTTCCTGACATGAGTCACAAACAGACTGGTGTGCTTGTAGGGTTGCTCCTGTGAAGATTTCCTCTCTCTGTCTTTGACTCGCAAGGTCACATAGACATTGTCAACATGCCCTAACAAAAAGAGAAAAAATATAATGGTGAGATTCTTTCATTCGCCTTTTTTAAGGGGGGAGGGCTAGGTAATAAAGGTATTATAACTTGCTTTAAACCATGTCATTTATTTAAACATGGACCACATATCTACATATTTTCTAATTTTTCATGTTCACTGGCTGTAATGTCTGATGGAAGATTCTGGTTGTTCATCCATTTCTGGAATTCAGTCTTGTTCCAGAACTTAAGTTTTGCATGCACATCCATTTTAAAGATCTGGCTTTTTTCAAGCAGATGCAGAAGGAAACACTTTAGATTAATCCACTTTTACAACTTGCTTGCTGCTAGGAAGGGTCTATTTGTCCCCCCACCCCCACAATTGAGGCTCCAGAATCCACGGATTCAGAGAATGAGTTAGTAATGTAACAATTGTCGGTGATAAAATGAGAATCAGAAATCTCACTAATAAACATATGATGGGTTACACAGTACCCAAAAAAAGTTAACCTACCATGCATATTCTTCTTCTTTGCATTCACCAGCTGTAAACTCAGGCAGAAAGTTCTGGTTGTTCATCCAATTCTGGACTGCAGTCCTGTTTCAGAATCTGAGTGCTGTGTGCGCATTCATTTTAAAGATCTCACTCACTTGTATGCAGACTAGTGGTTCCTTGCCTCTCATGCAGATTCACTCCGACTTCACAGGAATCTCCCAATTAGTTGACTCTTACAACAGGCTTTTGGGCAGGCAGTGGGTCTATTCTTGTTTTTCCTGTAAAAGGGTCCTGGAACCCTCACAGGAAACCATGCATATTGTGAGAGCTGACTTTCCTGTGTGGGTTGTGGAGGGGAGGTTAGCCAGAATCGATGCACTGCCTTCTAACAAGCATGTTCATAAAAGTCGTCTAATTGAGAAAAGAATAGACGCATGCCCCTTACCCAAATGCATGTTGTGAAAGGCAACTAACTGGCGGGGAGGGGTGGTCAAAACCGGAGTGCACGCAAACAGGAACTAGACTTAAGTCCACAAGTGGACGGACAACCAGAACTTTCTGCCTAAGTTCACAACCACTGGACGCAAATAAGAAGAAGACTCCGGCAAACTTTACTTACCAGGGCATTTCCTGATACTCGTACAAGTGTAAGTAAGGCTGTCAGCCAAGTCAACGATAAATATAAAATCCTCATCGAGTGTCAACTAGACTAACCGTCTTACGCAGATTCGAACCAAAGAAATTTTAGACCCGCAAGCAAGCGCCAGATCACCCTGACTACCTGATTTTAAATAAAGGAAATTAAAGATTATGTTCTGCAGTGTTCTACTAAACATCTATGTCAATGTAAAATTATTTTACATAGTCGTTGAAAAACGAACACAATTCCACACATCGTGGAATTATTGATAACATTCGTTTTTCGGTAAAAGAAGAACTTTAAATTTACAATAATAATGTGCTTACAAAACGTAAACTATGTGTTTGGAGCCGCAACAAAATTAAAGGAACAATATTAATCAACACCGTTCGTTTCGATAAAAAATATAAGCTGCAATAGATCTCCAGCGTTTTCAGCATTTAGCTGTGGTTTTTCAACTCAGTCTGTTTTTTAAATCATTGTTTGATGTTATCCTCCTACATATACCACAGTTTATCTCTTGCTTGTTTGCCTTTATCGTTCCTCTGCAGTATATTATAAATCGGAGAGCTGTATTTTATTTAATATAGCAGAAATGAACTTGTCGATGTTGTTGCCATTAGTAAATGCTATATTTCCTATTTTCTGTGAAGTATGTAAGTTTTCGGGACGGTACACATTGTAAATAAATATTAAATATTATGGCAATAATTAACTGATTTAAAAAAAAAAAATAGTTGACATAATAACAAGCCTGGCTAAAGAACAAGACGTAAACACATGTAGTAAATGTAACAGACTCTGAAAGCATGCTGGGAAATGTGAAGACAGGGATGCTTCGAGCAGAGTGGCAAGCTTCAAGTAGAAGGTCACGAGTAGTGAGCATACTTTGGATCTTTTCTGCATGCCATGCCGGTGTGGTGGGGAATAAACGAGCACATTGGCTGGATCTCACCACTGGGTGCTGAATTGATACATGACATGATTTGATTCAAGAACCGACATCACAGCACTCAGGGCATTCCCATAAGCGCTCCGTCCCCATCTTCAGCAGCCAGCGAAGAGTTCCGATACTAATGGTGCCAGTAGCTTTCTGATTAAATGTCCGTCTTGTCTTTCTCCTGAGCCTTGAGCTTCTGCCAGAACCTCTCGTCACCCCCCAACTGCATCAATCTCACCAGACTGTGGTGATCCATCTGCTCCTCCGAATTTTACACGCTCTCCCACAAGGCACTAACCACGTCTGCCCTATCATGTATCAGTATTCCACCAAGTTGAACAGAGCCAGCCAGTCTGTCCACCTGTTCATTTCCCAACACACCGGCGTGACCCGGTGAAAAAATCCAGGCAATACTCCTCACTCGTGTCCTCCGCAACGAAGCATGTCACTCTGCACAAAGCATACCTGTTCTGATCTTCCTCAGCATGCTTTCTGAATCAGTTACAATCACGATGTGTGTGTGTGTGTGTGTGTGTCGTGTTCTCTAGCCAGTGGAAAGCTGCAGTGACCGCCTCCACCTCCATTCTTAAGCTGGATGTTGTGGTATCATATGCTAGGCTCTCCTGCACCCAACGCCGACCATTAACTTTTGCTAAGAAGCCCCAAGCATTTCTTTTGCCTCTTGACACTGAACCGTCTGTGTAAATGATCAAATCCTCCGAGCGAGCATTATCTTGAATTAATTGCTGAATTTCCACCTCTGTGGCACCTGCTGACCAGTCTCTGCATTCCCGGCTCAGCGTGATTATGACTCTACACAGGTCTGACTGCTCAGGTGGCACTTTGACCCACTCCTCTCCTCGCCTAATGTTATCAAGGATGCAAACCTGTTTGTGTCTTCTGCCTGAGCCATCCATGACCTCCCTCTTATCGGCAAACCAAGGATGTATCGCATACACACCACTGAGGTGTCTCTGGTACAACCCAGAATGACCCTCATAGCCGCGTTCTGTATGCGCTCTAGTTTGTCCATCTGACTCTTTGAGACTGTAAGCAGTCCCAGGACATAATCCACCACTTACAGGATCAGGTGCTGATATAGTTTAAAAAGCATTCTCTGCTCTATGTCAATTTCAGCCATAGTCTTAAGTGCACTAAGTCCTTTTTGGCATCTCATCACAACACTCTCCACATGGTCCTTAAATGACAGGCTCCTGTCAAATGTAATTTCTAGATACTTCAGTTTGCTTTCTCTGTTGACATCTCTACGATCTATCGTGAGACTTGGGACATTAGTTTTAACGATTCTGTTGTCTAGAGAACACCAAAAAACAGACGCCTTTCCCGGGTGGACGACAGCCCTCATTTCTGTACACCACTCAGTTACTCTTTCTACTGTCGCTTGTAGCTCCCGAGCTGTTTGTTCCCTCTCTTCCCCCAGCCTATATGCAAGTACATCGTCCGCAAAAGTAAGTATCCTTCCAACTCCTGGTGCTTCTAGGCTTGCAATCTTGCGCGTATACACGTTGAAGAGCACAGGCGAGATGGCGGATCCCTGTGGCGGTCCTGGGGCCAAAGTGCATGGTTCAGAGGTCCATGAGCCCAGTCGGAGAGCAACCCGACGTGAATACAGGACAGCTGCAACCCAGTTCACCAGCCATGGATTGACCTACTTCTCCCTCAGTGCAGTCATTACGATGTCGTATCTCATTCTGTTATAAGCATCCTCGAGATCCAGTCCTACCGCCATAGTTTCCTGTCTGTTCTGCAACCCTTTATAGACGTCAAAAGCAAAAGTGGCCGCATTTGCCCAAGTGTCCTTTCCTGGCCTGTAACTTCACAGACCTCTTGGGAGAAGCTTCCCCCTTTCCAAAAATTCTTGTAACTTTACAGCAACTATCTTCTCCAAGACCTTCCCAAATGTGTTTTGTAAGGTGATGATTCTAAGCCACTAAGCTTTGAATGATCTTTAAAAGGTTTTGGTAGCGGGATTAGATAGCTGTGCACCCAGTCTTGCGGTACTGATGCTGTCTTAATACTCTGGTTAAAACAGTCGGTCATCTCTGCCAGGTCTACATCGCTCAAAGCCTTCATGTGACCATATCTGACACCATCAGGCCCTGGTGCAGTGTCTTGCTTTTTTCAAAATTTGTTTGATATCTTCCACTTGTATCAAGTCTTCATAATGCATATTCTTCAAGGTGCCAGTTAACTACTTTCTAACTGCATCCCTGATGTCTACATCATTATGATCTGTCTGAGCTATAAACCTGTGAAGAAAAGCCTCCCCTTTCTCCTTGTCTGTTGTCACACGCACACCATCGTCTCTACAAATTGTTCCGACTGTCATAGGCCTATCTTTTCTTTGCATCTGCCTTTGCAGTTTCCAGAATTTCCCTAATGTTTTATCACCTCCCATATCATTCACAAAAGTGTCCCACTTTGCTCTTTTGGCCTCTACAGCGCTTGAAAACCTCCATCTTATCTTTTTTCACATTCTCCGCCATCTCCACTTCCTCTCGTGAGCTTGAGGGTGTCTGTCGTACTTTCTTTAGCTGCTTCACTGCGGCTCTCTTTGCCTTCCATTCCTGTTCTACTTCTGGAGTCCACCATGGAGGCTGTAGAAAATTAGTTCTGGCAGTTCTTTTGCATGCTCCCCGTCTGAGGCGTCCAAGTAGGTTGTTAAGGTTGTTGGTCCACTTATACTGGAAGGTCTTGTGTACTCTCCCAACCTTACCCTTACTAAGTTTA